CGAACGCGATCGCGAGATCGCCCGATAAGATTCTTCGAGAAGACGACATGGAAACGACCTTGATCCGAATACCCTTTGCCCGGTTCCCTTATCCCATCCTACCCTTCTTCGAATGGAATTTAAATCCTCCTCGATTCTTCGCCATTCAAGTTGGTCTCGTACATTTTCGTCTTCGTTTGTCATTGTTGTCCCTTCGATAAAGGTGGCTCGTCACTTCCCGTCGTTTTTATTATAGTTGTTAAACCAGCATGGTTAGAAAGAGAGAGAGAGAGAGAGAGAGAGAGAAGTTTCTTTTCTCTAAAGGGATTTGCGGTTGGTCGAAGCTTCGACGATCGATGAGACGCTCTGTCGAGACTTTGTACGATCGCATGCTTACTCCAAGGTCAATGATCCTTCGCGGGCTAGATCATGCGTATCGAGGAAATGACTCTGTTTTTCTTTTTTTGTTCCCATTTTTCTTTTCTTTTTCTTACGACTTCGAAAGAACCATGTTCGTTCCTTCGACCATACACGGTTTCAACTATTTCAATTTGTTCCCGGAAAATTAAACTTTACACTTTTGTTACTTACTTATTTTTCACGAGCATAGGAAAAAGAAAAAGAAAAGAAAAAGAAAAAAGAAATGTAAGACAGAAAAGAAAGAAAAAAAAGAAAAAAAAGAAAAAAAAAGAAAAAATACATAATCGCGCGAGTCCAGTCACGTGATAGATAGCCGGTGGTAAGTCTGGTATTTCGTTTAACCTGGAATCCATTACATACGTGCTTTACTATCCCGGAAGATACGAGATAATTATAATCTCGCTCTATGATTTTGCCGCGGCGAGTAAGCACATCGTTATCGTTACGATTATCGTTTGTGGTTGACTTTACGATAACGGTAACGTGAGAGTAACCTCGAACGACTTTTACCATTTACGCTCGTACGTGCGCTCATTGGACCTTATTAGATTCATAAATGGGATGAAAAGATTTTCAAGAAATTAAACAACGACGCGCGATTTGACTCGGAATCGAATAAAGAGAAATCCTTCATTGATACATTTCATTGAGAAATTATTTATGCGAAAAATTTCATTGAATGAAAGGATGAATGGAAGAAAAGTGAAAAAAAAAAAAGTAGAAAGAAAGAAAGAAAGAAAGAAAGAAAGAAAAGAGAAGAAAAAGAAAGTTGTCGATTTAGAAAGAGAAAAAAAGGAAGAGGAGGAAGAAAAGAAAGAAGAAAGAAAAAAAAAAGGAGAAAGAACATTGGATCATCATCTTCACGCGATACCAAGCGAAGAGAACTTATGTAACGCTTTCATGCAAGACAAGGCCAAGGTTTTCGCGATGAGTCAAGCAAGTAAGTAAGTAAGTAAGTAAGTAAGTACACGTGTGGTCTCGCGCAACTAAGTATCTCCTCGCGTTTTATACGCGAGCCACGAATGCCATCTTTAATAGTACTCGATAGAAACAGCGATATCTCGTTTTCTCGGTATCCTTTTATTTTTCAAAAAAAAAAAAAAAAATAAAAAAAAAAAGAAAAGAAGAAAAAAAAAGAATCCTATCCACCCCTACTCTTACTCCCACTTCCATTCTTTATCACCCATCATCATACAGACCATACCGATTTCATACTTAAATTTTTTCAAACGAATTGTTCTTTCGTAATTGTTCTACATATTATGGAATAAGAGATAATATGCAAACGATGAAGAAGGGATTCTATTTTACCATGAAAAAGGACCACCCTGAACGATCGGTTTCGTGCTAAAGAAATTGTAGATATACCACGTGAAAGGATATAAAACTACTCTTCTCCAAAGGATACCCTTGGAAATGAGAAGAAAAGAAGGGAAAAGAAGAGGTATAAATAGCAGCTAGGTGGATAAACGCAGAATAGGGATCGTTTGTTCTCTCTCCCTCTCTCTTTCTCTCTCTCTCTCTCTCTCTCTCTCTCTCTTTCTCTCTCTCTCTTCTGCATAATAAGAGATCGCGATGGTTGTTCGAACGATAAAGGATGAAATGGTAGGTACTTGCATAAATAGAAGAAGAAGAAGAAGAAGAAGAAGAAGAAGAAGAAGGAGAAAGAAGAAAAAGGAAGGAAGAAAGAAAAAAGGAAAAGAAAAAAAAATCTCCACCTACGATGTAAGGACAATCGTCCTTGTATATAGTCCTTATGGGTTATCCACAATACATGCTCTAGAGTATCTATCTATTTTTCTACTTTGAGATTTTTTACGGAAAACCCAAATCTTTTTTTTCGATCGAATAAAATAGATTAGTAAATGTTTATGTTAGATATTAATTCTGCTTTTTTTTTCTCTCTCTTTCACTCTCTCTAATGGTTAGGTCATACACGCACAATTTAAAGTTTACACCCTCGAAGAGCAGGTAAGTACCTATCTACCTAACCTTCCTTCCTTTTTAAAAGCAAGAACTACAGAGAGACTTCGAAACCTAAATAAAGAACTCGAAAAGGACAAAGGATGTGACTGCATTAAAGGATAAATACGTTCCTTTTACTTCTTCTCCTTTTATTTCTTTTCTACAATTCGAAAGAGAAAAGACAGAAATGATTTCCCTCCACTTTCAGAAGCAAAGGTCGGATATATATATATATATATATATATATATATATATATGTATATAAGAAGAGAGGTATGAGAGGGTCGCAATGGGTGCGTCAAACGTTCGACTTTATATGTCTGCGGGGTGGTCCCGAAGTTTTCTTCCTCGCGGATATAGTACGTGGATACATGCAGTCCTTTAAGCGAACGCTCGTTTAATAACGATTTATGGTGGCGTAAACTGGAACCCCCTTCGTTCGTCGTCTCCTTACTTTACCTTTAACTTCGTCTATACACAAAGGAGATGTTAGAAGGGAGGGAGGGAGGGAGGGAGGAAAGAAGGGTAAGGGTCGTACGCGACTTCGACGAGTATTAATATTTTTTTTTCTTTTTTTTCTTTTCTAAATAACAACTGAAACACGTCTTTGACGTATTTGTTTATCTTTTTTGTTCTCTCTTTCTCTCTCTCTTTCTTTCTCTTTCTCTCATGCTATCTCGCGTACTTACCTCGAATATTTTTTCTTTTAAGATATAAGTTTCCTTGTTCATTCTTAATTTAATATTTTAGTTCTTTTTCTTTCCCTTTCTTCTTTTTCCTTCATACGCGTGAAACTTACTTATACTTACTATATAATATAATTATCCTTATTAGGTATACTGATATATTATATGTATACTATGTAGACGTTATTTGAAATGTTAATTTAATTGCATGGTTATATATACGTCTATCGTGAGCTTTGTTATTATTTTCTTGCTATCTCTCTTTCTCTCTGTTTCTCTCTCTCTCTCTCTCTCTCTCTCTCTCTCTCTCTCTCTCTCTTTCGCTCTCTCTCTTTTATCTGTGCTGTGAAATACATGTTGTTTATTTCTTTTTTTTTTTCTTTTATCGTTTCTTAGAAAATTAGTTACAAGTGAGGAATTCGATCGAAGAAGGATGTCTCTCTCCTCACTTTCATTTGTAAACTCGTCGAATTACCACCGATATAGTTAAACGAGTATCACTCAGATGGCAGAGGTCGAGAAACGAGGAAATTCGTCCAACGAGTTCCAAAGAAGGTAAACGAGGAAGCATTTCGTCACCGTTATCTGTCACTCTCGTTGTTAATCGATCGATCCATCGTTCTCGTTAAGAGCGAATGTGCATCGAGTTTATTAAAAAAAAAAGAAAGAAAGAAAAATAAAAAATAAAAAGAAAAAATATCGTATAAATAAATAATTTAAAGAATTACGTAATAAGGATTTTATATATTCGGTGTTAAGAATTAAGTACACCAATTAAAAGTAATTAAAATGTTTTTTTGCCGAATAAAGAGAAATCAAATTCATTGAAGGATAAATTTTCCTTTAAGGAAAAACTTAACTGGTACTCGTTCGCAAAACCTAGATATCTATAAACTAGTTTATTCGTGAAAGATAAACATCGTAATTATCCTATTTTCGAGAGGATCAAAGATCGAAACGTTTACGATATATTTAGGTATATATATATATATATATATATATATACATATATATATACATCACAAAGTATTTTATAAATTTCTGGGTAACAAGTTATCGTTGAAAATAAGTTAGACTCGAGCTGACCAGATTGATTACCATCATTCGATGAAATCGTTCTGTCGTAATGACAGTTCGATGCAATATCATGATAATTTCCAATGGCAAGTATCCGTGAATTATCATTATCCGATATCGAAGTATGTTTTATCGTAGACATTATGTTATTATTATTCTTCGACGGTCTTATTATTATACTTAAAGGTATTAAAGTCTTAAGTTAATAAAACTGTAATTGTTCGTGGATAAATCTCGTACGTTTAAATACATAGATATATAAATATATGAATGAAAAATACGAAACAATAAAAATCTTATTAATTCGTGGATTAAATTTTTAACGATAAAATGACTTTGTTAAGCTTATAACAATGAAAGAAAGGAATGAAAGAAAGAGAATCGAAGATTCTATAGTTGGTATGTGCGCGTACATACATACATACATACATACATACATACATACATATGTACGTATGGTACATACATATGTATATATATATTCACATATATTACGTAGGCGTTCACGCGTACAATTTACTCTGAAGTAAGTACTTACGTCGCGTTTCTCATAATAAATTATTAATGATTGCCCAGAGGAACGAGTTTCATAGTCACGTTTTGCGACTTAATTATCTCACTCGCAATTCACGGAGTACCGTTTTCGAAGAAAACACTTCTTTCCGTGCATACAAATCGATTCTAATCTTCCAATCTCTTTATCTCTCTTTCTCTCTCTCTCTCTCTCTCTCTCTCTCTCTCTCTCTCTTTTCTTTCTCTTTTGTGCATAGAATTCTAGGACGTCAGCAGGCTTGGACGTCGACATGTTTTAACGTCCCGCGTTAGTGAGTGACCTCAAAGAGGAATAATCACAAAAGAAATATAAAGACTTACTTGATAAGGGTAAGTGCCGCTTCTGTAATAACTGCTGGTAGTCAAAGCCGGATGGCTTTTACTGCTGCCACACATGGAAGCCATTTTTTCAAGATGATATTCTCCTCCCTTCGATATATATAGATATATCTATATATCTGCAAGTATCTACTTCTATCTGTCTATTCGTCTATCTTCGAAGAAATAAAAAGAAGAAGCACGTAAAATCTTGATGAAAACTTCAACTTGGGCGCATTTTCGTTCGTTCGTTTTTTAACATAAATCGTAGTGAAGGAAATATCAAAACTTTTGGTTATCTTCTCATCGTGCACTCTTCTCGATCGAGGTACGTCCTCTTTACTCTTGACGACATATACGGCACACATTCGAAGGAGTGGATCTTTGCGAAGGTATGTAGGTACTTTTGCTGGCACAGCTCGACTCGTACTCGACTCGACTCGACTCGCCTCGACTCGACTTGACTTGACTTGACTCGACTCGACTCGACTCGACTCGACTCACGGACTCGACTCACGCGGGAGAACAACCGTAAGTCGGCCGATTACGACTTTCGTACAAGGCCACGGAGGTGCGCGATTTTTTTCGAATGTCCACGGTAGAAGTACCGTTAAGCATTAAAAGTGTATTGAAATCAATTTGATCCCTTCGAGGAATTTCTCTCGTTCATCGATATATATTTCTCTCGTACGATTTCTTTCTCTTTTTCTTTCCCTTTTCTATTGTTAACGTCGAACTGTCGAAATATTCGAATCGAAATACATTCCGTACCTGCGGAAATGCCTGTAGAACGATTACGAACCTATCGGTTCGATGCTTTAACCTATTCTGAGGTGAGCTCCCGCGTTTCTCGTTGGCGGAGAACAAACGAGGCAAGGCAGAAGTCGAAGCGGATGGCACGCAACCATACCAACGTCCTTCCTCCGGGACGGTTGACCACCGACTGACAGCCAGAGATCTTCACGCATCGCCGTTCTTTATCTTCGTTCTTTCCGTTCGGCTAACACCGCCGTTTGTAGCCACCTCTGCCGCCTCTTGCTGCTTCTATTTCTGCTTATACTCTTGCTATTGCTGTTACTGCAGTTACTCCCGTCCGTCACTTCTCCTCTTCTATTTCTTTTTTTTTTTCTTTTTTTCTTTTTCTTTTCTATTCTCTTTGGAATCGCGACCAATCAAAATTTCAAGTTCTCGAGTCGGAAGTCTAAGTATTAAATATTGTTTAATCGACAAATAGTAAATTCTTTTTATGATTTCCCTTGAATTCATTTTTCGTCAAATTCCGACTGTTCTCTTGAGAAAAGATATTTTTTTCGTCCTTCCTCTTTATTTTATTCCCTTCTTCCATTAGATCTTTTTTTTTTTCTTTCTTTCTCAAAGACCGCCCGTCGATAAATCAACGTGGGTTGGATTTCTCTTCGATCGTCGATCAATTATATGCTCTTGCGTAAGTGAACTTCGGTCGATCTGTCGTTCGTGATCCGAGATAATTTTCGTAGTTGTTGAAAAATAAACAATATAATTATTCCTACGACAGGAAGCAACGATTATTCATTAAAATCGTATTAACCTTTTCGTCGTTGCGGTATTCGATAGAAACATTAAGCTCGTGAATAGATTTTACAACGATAATAATTCGAAAAAAAAATTTCAAAATTTCGGAAATATAGATTCTCGTTGGTTGCAAATTTTAATTAATTTCTTTCTAAAAAAAATAACTTACGCGTTATTTGCTGAATTATAAAGTATACAATTATATTCAAGCAAAAAGTGTTAGCGCGTATCTTGCGTTCTATTAACAGTACTTGCTACTGATAGAAATTACGTTTTCGAATAAAAACAAGGTCAACCGGAACGATCGTAGGCTAGTTTAAGTACGACCATTGGCTCGTTCAACTTTTAACGGAATTCAATTACGATATCTTAACGAACTCATTTAGTTCGAAACGATAAACTATGTAGAAAAAGAAATATGTAAATGTATAAAGATCGATTGGAAGCGATCGTAATCGATTGGAAAGATTGTTATTAATAAATATATATATATATATATATATATATATATATATATATATACATATATATAAATAAATGTATTCGAACGCAGAAGAAAATGTGCGTTAAACGGAGACTTCGATGCGTGGTAGTCACTCGTAAGAGACATCAACGTTGGGAAGTGAAAAATCCATAAGTACGATAAGTTCTATATATTAATATTATCTTCAATCGTCCTCGCTTACTCAAGCGTCACATTTTTCATGTGTCAAGATTTTCAAATTTACGTGTTTACGAGGAAAATAAGATAGATATTCCTTGTTTACCTTGGATCTCGTTTAAGTGTTATGAATATTCACGCTATACATCATATTCGCTCTCACATGTAACCACATCAAATGCATCCATCTTATTCGGCGAGTAGGTCACCGTGTTCCATCCCTCGTTCTTTCTTTTTACCTTATCTATCTCTAATCCTATTATTAATTTATGAATATACGTCTTTCACATAATTTACCATTAACTTGCCATTTACATATTACATAGCGTCTCGCTAATGTTATTCATTATTCGGCTAACACCCTTTCACGCGAAGATCACGAAGGAAGAACGAAGCAAAAACCGTTGTGCTTCCCTTTGTTGTTGTTCTCGCTAACGGTAGTAAATTCAATGCTCGGGAGATTTCTCACGATGGACATCGAGAGAATCAACGACGATGTATTTTAATGACCTAATTACCAGTACCAATGACTCTAATTTTTCATTAAATTGAAACGATGTATATCTAGGAACGATTTTCTTTCTTATCATAATTGCATATCTCAATTTTCATACCTCTTTATCTCCCGGAATTCGTTTAGAAATAAAATATTTCGAACGGTTTTCACATCCGAAGTAGACTGCAACGCTTCTGAGGTCGACTCTTTGAAATGGAACTTGGCACGATTATTTCGCTTTTAGAGTACTGCTATTCTCGTTTGTATTAAGTAAAGTAAAATCTATGTATAACAATGATAAGCGATTGAGTTCACAGCCCGTATTTTCGTTATATACCTACAAAAATATCATGTTGTACATGTAGGTACATGTATACACACACACACACACACACACACACATACATATATATACACAGGCACACAAACGTATTTATATATTCTCGTAGTACGATAACGTCCGTATAGTATATATACATAGTTAAAAAAAATAACATAACCAGATAGTAGCATAACCAAAAAAAAAGAAAAAGGAAAAAGGAAAAAAAGAAGAAAAAGTCTACTTATTAACCATGGTCATTAATTTCATGTAACATTTCCAAAAGAAAGAACATCAGATCGGAAACGTAGGATCAGATTTGGAATTCCATGGGTCTAACTAAATCGCGACATCTTTCCGCTTTGCGCGTTTAGGTGTAAATTCATGGTCAGGTAAGGAAGCAAGTGAGAAGGTAGATAGGTAGATAGGTAGGTAGGTAAGAAGGCAGGCAGGCAGGCAGGCAGGCAGGCAGGCAGACAGGCCAAGCAAGGCTAGCAGCAGCAACACGAGGGCTGGCAAACGACAGCAGTGGTGGCTGGCACAAGGAGGGCTAGTAAGGCTGCCGTCGAGGTAAATAGCCGAGGGACCTACGAGTGGCAAAGCAAAACAACAAAGCGACGCTTGAGAACCCAACGCGAATGGGACTTGAATCACAACTTCGCTTTCCCACACTGGATTGCGAGCGTATGCGCGCGAGCGAACTTGAGAGTAAGCAACACACGCCTCTAGCATTCAAACCATTAAGATCGTCATTTAGGATATTACGCTTTTTCCTCCGATTAAATTCACCTAAATGGGTCCTCCTACTCCTTTTCTTCTTCCTCCTTCTCCTTCTCCTCCTTTTCTTCTTCTTCTTCTTTTTCTTCCTCTCCGATCGAGATTAAAGTGCATCGATGTTTTGCCAATCCTATTTTTTGGCGAACAACGAAATTCTACATCGAAATTGAATTTATATATTGCTTTTTAAATTAATCATAAATAGATAGTCGAAAGAAAATGAGAAAAAAATAATTCGCTCGAAATTATTATCTACTGAATTTCTTATCAGTATTATTTTCATGTAGTTTCATTTTGATCGTTAAAAATAATCATTTCACCGAGCCACGACAATTTTCCAATTTTCGTCGAGTTCTTCTAATCGCGTCTAATAGTTTATTTCCTATTAGAAGAGTCCAACCTACATGCGAACTAACATAAAGCGTAGCAAGAGCGCTTCCGAATAACAGGCAGCTGTTGCCTGTAAAATAGCACACCGTTTACACGCATGAATTCTATTACGACGAGTTTGCGTGTACTTGCTTTTTACCTGCTTAATATTATTTCTCATCGTACAACCTTGATTTCTCTCCAGCTAGACCTTGAATCCTTTTTTTCCCTCTCTTTTTCTCTAACATCATACCGCAGGAACATCGTACGTTTTAACGTAAATATTACTACGATATCCTGAACAAGCATACTCGGGATATTTATCTTCTTTGAAAAAGTACGATAACAAAATCCTTATCGCGCAAAACGTTCATCTTGTCCTCGACCCTGATAAAAAACGATGCATCCTATGTTAATATATATATATATATATAAAAAAATAAAAAAAAATAAATTATCATAAATAATGAATATTTGCGATTAAATAGTATTCAAACTCAATATTCTTATGTATCCTCTTGCTTCATAAATCATAAAGTATGCATATAAGTATTGTAGATACATATGTACATTTCGAATGTCATTTCGATGATCAAACGTAAAAAGGGTTGCCTATCATCAGGCATAATCACCACGTTCCTTCTCATTATCTTAAGATCGATTTTGAAAAATATTCTGCTCTATATACTTTTTCCTTCTCTTAGCTAACGTGATTTTTACACATTTATACTCCGTCCTTTTTCTTACATACACATACGCACACGTATGTTATTCACATATACATTTTGTCGAGAGTACTTCAAGAGAAACGTTCATCCACTCGAGTAATCCTCTTCTCATCCTTCAATTCCTCACAACTTTGTCTTAGCTCTTTTCGTTACCTCCTTCTTCCTCTTCTTTCTCGTTTCCTTCTCCACCAACCTTCTTACCTTACTCACCCTCTTCCCTCTTTTATTATCCAGTCGGTGCAACCGCTCGTTTATTTACAAAGTTCTCTAAACGTTCCGACTTGTATCGAGTAACGTCCCTGGAACGCAACCGTCGAATTCCAGCTTGCATTCTGTCCGTTTTTCGCGTCATAACGTTGGGTCGCTTCCCTCTTCCCTCTCCGCTCTTTCCTTCCTCTCGCCCTCCGTCTCTTCTTCTCTTTCACAATCGTTACATCCTTCTTTTGCAACCCTCGCACAACTCCGGTTCCTCCTTCTGGCATTTCGCTTTCGTTGTTTAACCGCTCGATTCTTTTCCGCGCTTCTTGGATACTCTCTCTCTCTCTCTCTCTCTCTCTCTCTCTCTCTTTATCTCTTTCTATGTCTTTCTTTCTCTCTTTTGATCTTTCTTTCTCTTTTGGATTGCCGACTGGCAACGAGGAAAAAGTTGTCTTGTATTATCGGAAAAGGAGGCTGTTTGCAGTTTGATTCTCTCTTTGCAAGGGTGATAGCAGGGAAAAGAAGATGCATCGTTCTCTCGGAATTACGTTAAAGAAGAGGAAGAAGAAGTAGTAGTTGGAATTTTCATATTAGTGTATTTACTTCGTTAGTGATGTTCCCTCCCTTCGAGTTTTGGAATGCACTTTTTCTTGTCAGTAAGTAAATGAATGATACCTATAGGGATCTTTTATATATATATATATATTTTTTTTTTATTCTTATATATATATATTTTTTTCTTTTTTTTATAATTAGGATATTTTTTTTCTTTTTTATTCTTCCTTTATATTTTTTTTTTTTATCAGCACGTATTACCATAAATCAAACTTATGGAAATTATTTACACGCGACGTTGTCAAGTGACCACACAAGTTAGAAAATCCTTCGAAAAAATTTCTCTCTCTCTCTCTTTCTCTCTCTCTCTCTGTCTGTCTGTCTCGGTAGTATATTAAATGCTCATGGTTTCGAACATATCGAAATTAATTGATAAATCATACATGGTAGGGATACGAGCGGCAAAAGAGGAAGACTGCTTTTACCGGATAATCGATTCATGCGTCCCGCTTGGATACCTTTTTATAGTCTCTCGCAACCATACGAACCCCCTTTTCGTCGCCCACCTTTCAGCCCAACCTCCCTCGCTCCCCTTTTCATTCCAAGTCGACGTCATGCCGATTTTCGTTTGAACTTACACGAAAGAAATGAATTCACGTGTCTTTCCCTTCGTTTCTTTTCGACCTTTTCGAATCTATAAAAGTATATTCGAAGTAGATATATCCATACGTGGATATACCCTATACATAGTTGGAAATCTTTTTAATTTTAATATTTAATGAGAAATATGAAAGATATATATATATATATATATATACATATATACAACATAGATACAAGATATGATCTCGTCTTTAGAAGTCTATGGGTTAAAGGGGAAAGTTCATTTGATTCATATTTTCCTATATTTTATAACAACGATAAAAGGGATTCGGAAAAAGGAAGTCAGGCATACTTTTTACATACATCGTAAATAACATCTTTATCGACGATTTTACATGCCGACGGTAGTATACACGGTGTATCGAGATAAAGTTTCTGATAGATAACAGCCGTCATAATGAATTCTTTGCCTCTCCCTCATATATGTATGTACGTTCCCTTTCGAACGGGTTCTCTTGGACGGAGCTACCCGCCTTCTTCTTGTCTCGCACCGTCATTATTATCATTGCCGTTGTTATTTTTATATTATATGCGTATACGCTTATAAAAATGCGGCGCAAGCTGTATGTACATATATATATATATATATATATATATATATATATATATATATATACGTATATATATATATATATACGTATGCGAACGTCGACCAAGGCAAGAATTATCGATCAATGCTCGACATTGTGCCGAAAAATTAACTTCTCTTCTTGCGTTACCTTTTATACGCTTCGGGCTAAGAACGTCGACCTGTCTACCTTCGATGTCGATTGACTTCGTAGAAAATAATTTCTTTTCTTTTTTCTCTTTTTCTTCTTTTTAATTCGAATATCAAACATTCGCTTTATATTATTACGCTGTCAAATATTCTCAAACTTTATCTCGATTATAATTCATTAAGAAAATAAAATATCAGATTTGACATTTTAATCTAAAAGGATACGATTTAAAGGGGGATACATCGAAGATTCTCTCTCTTTCTTTATCTATATATATATATATATATATATATATATATATATATAGATATATATATCTATCCTTTTTCTTTCTCGATACTTTATATTGTTATTCAGTGAAAGTTTCGTAAGCACCGTACGAAGACGCGAAAATTATCGAACAACGTTGCCCGCGAATACCGCCGTCGTAAATTACAGTTTTTATCGTTGGCAGTCTGGATTTCGGGCGAATGCGAGAGAGAGAGAGAGAGAGAGAGAGAGAGAGAGAGAGAGAGCCCTTTCTCGAGTCTCTTCCTTAGGTCTCCTTAACGTTTCCCTTCATCCTCGGAGATTTATCTGAAAAATTTAAAAAAAAGCCTACCCTCCTACCATGCCCTGCCAACTTGGTCCCACCCCTTCTCTCTCTCTCTCTCTCTCTCCCTCTCTTTCTTCTATCTTTCTCTGTCTTATAGCTTGTTCGTTGCTTCTGGGCTTGTCCATGTCGTTGTTGTCGTCATCATCGTCGTCGTCGTCGTCGTCGTCGTCGTCGTCGTCGTCGTCGTCGTCGTCGTCGTCGTCGTCGTCGTCCACGACGCAGAAGATCGCCGATACTTTTGCTCGAGGAACCCCTCGCAGCTCGGCTACGTGGCGGAATGCATCTGTACCGCGCTGTAGGTGATTTTTACAGGGCCGTACGCCCTGTAGCAGGTACTTCGTGAAAATGAACGATAATAATTCAAAGATCTATTAAATCTATCTAAATTGAAAATTATCAATGATTCGTTCTCATGACGTTGAAAAATTCGACGATAATAATTTCTATAATGTATAATTTATTATTCCACGTTAAAATATAAATCTTATAATGTTTAAGATGCTCGTTGTTACAAGTTATTAATCGTGATTAAAAGGAAAAAGGGGGGAAAAATTGTTCGATCGATTCGATGATTCGAAAATTTTAATAGGATATGTAAAAATTAAAGGAAATGTAAATAATTTGTAAAATAATCAAGATGGGTCATCGATACGGTCCTGTCCTTTTCTCTTTCACTCTCTTTCTCTCTCTCTCTCTCTCTCTCTCTCTCTGTCTCTGTCTCTCTCTAAAGGGCGCTCGAGGGTCCCTCGTTACGTTGCGCCGTTCGACAAGAAAATTTGCCTCTGTGCTGTGCCTTAGTCTGGCATATCGTGCGCATATGTCTCGAGCGCGCATTTCTGTTTAGCCGGCACCCCGACCACCTTCACCGCCACGCTTGATTTATCGATCGACATTTTTTCGGGGGATTTTTATTACGTTTTGATCCCTCTCCTCGAATACATTTCGCGGCCACTAACCACGAAAAGACCGAACGAGATCGCTCGTACGCAGCTTGACACTCCGCTTGTTATCGAAATCGAGCGGGCTTTTGATCTCGACTATTTGTGAGCTCTTCATATTTCGACTACCCTTTTTTTTTAAAGGGTGTCATCTTTATACTCGATCTAATATATTGTCACAAGAGATCTCTCTTTTCTTTTCTCTCCTTTTTTCTCTTTTTCCTCCATTTTCCCATTTTCTCTTTTAATCTATAATTAATAGTGTATGGATTATAAAAAAAAAAAAAAAAAAAAAAAAATTAAAAATTAGTCATCTATTTAATTACAATTTCTTACGTATTAGTACACACACATATACACACACACACACGCGCGCGCGCGCATATATATATATATATAAGTATATAGATATGTCTAAATTGTGACGTTATTATGTACAAAGGTGATTATGATTATATTATAATTGCGACGATCACGAATAAAATGACATTAATCGGTTCTTAGATATTGGGCTAATAATTATAGAATTCGTTAAATTTTTAATGTTTTTTGGCTATATCAATGGATCTCTCTTGCGACAGCATCGAGTATCCTTTGGAAGGTAACGTCGTCTAATCCGGAAAAAGGTCTCTCAATAGCAGAGGGTGGAAGGGCATAACGTTTCCTTCGTCTTCGACGGAATATGTCGTCGTAATCTTCGTCGGTCGTCGGTGGATTCACTTTGGCGTAATATAACGCGGCAAATCCGCTATAAATTAATAGAGCCGCGGTGGCTAACTGAAAATACAATTTATCTAATGTTTATTTTACCTGTGAAGGCAGTCATATATATATATATATATATATATATATACACATAAATTGAAAAGCAAATATAAATATTACTTACTTGAAAAACAGCCCAAAACTTGTAACTTCCCTCGTTTATGAGAAAATCATAATAACCGGCCCAATAATCGACTTTCGGTTGACTTATCGCTTTCATATCACCATGATCGTCCTCCTCGTCGTGATCACTGTGATCGTCGTGATCATCGTGATCGTCCATGTAGTCAGGAACATCGTCCTCTGGTTTCTTATTATAACCGCGCCGATAATATCTCGATCGTCTACTCGAAACGAGAGAATTACGTCGTTGGATCGACACTTTTCCTTTTTTTTCTTCTCTTTTTGCTTTTATTTTTCTTTCTTTCTTTTTCTTTTTTTCTTTTCTTTTTTCTTTTTTTTTTTTTTTTGTTTTTTTCGTTACCATGCAAATCACCGTTCGTTCCAAGAAGAGAGAACGTGCGCGCATGCGTACGATGATTTTCTTTCGAATTTGTAAAAAAAAGAAAAAGAAAAAAAAAAGAGAACATTGTTGAACGTAGCTAGTTACCTGTACGACTGAACGGCTGTGCCTGTTTGAATATCAGCTGTCTCCGTAGCTGGCTCGAAGTCTATCGTCGTCGTGATCGATTCCACGTTCGTCTCTCTCGTCGACGCACGATGGAGATAAATGAAAATCATGAGAAATCGAAGAAACGGACCAGTCTGCATTCTATTGCGATAAATCTATCGTATAGTCACGGACAAGTGATAATCCAGGAATTTAGAAAAGAGAAAAAAAAACATAAAAAAAGAGAGAGAGAGAGAGAGAGAAAAAGAAAAAAAAACGATTCACTCACCTAAATATATCGATATCAGTTTTTTTTTTTCAATTACGATTAGATATTTTTCTATCGCGAAACGTGTGAGCTTCGTAAAAAGTCGTTCGATTTATCGATAATTTACAAACCACATTGGTGTCGATTGATACACATCGATTCATTCATGCGAGTAACGAGTAATAAAACATTGAGTTTATCAAAGAACGGAACATCTTCGATATACCGGAGAAGATCTGAACATACGGAACCTTCAACGATGAAATTAGAGAATGAACTGAACGATTTCTCGATGCAAGTTTGTAAGGAACCGTTTACCCTATATTACCAGACCGTAACTGTATTACCAGAAACGTTAAACAAATGGGGGCCATGCCAATGCTAAAAGTACTAATTGTTACGGATCGCGACGTCGCGACGCTTAGGAAAATTTTCGCTCGTATAATTCTCAATGTGACGCTCCGTAAATTTGTCCCATTAATATCTTTCATTAATATTCTTCTTTCATCTTTAATTTATTCTGTACGTTCTATCTATTTATCAATTGCCTTTCGAGTTGTCACAAAAAACATTGCACCACGCGAGAAAACATCGTTAGTTCTGCTAATCGACTTTTTTTCTTTTTTTTTTTTTTTTTTTTAATTTCTTTTATTCTTTTTCTTTCCTATTTTTTTTTTTTTTTTTCTTACGAGTTTCAATCTCATTTTCGAATAGATCTATTTTCTTAATAAAAAAAGCTCCACGAATTGTCGCAAATACGATATTGTAGAATGAACATTCACGTCGTTGATGCAACATTTGACCTAGCAAAGTAACATTCTTCTATGATGTATTAGAGCAGCAGATTAGCAAGTACCTAATCGAGTCCCGTTCGGTCGATACTCTAAAATCTTCAAGCGTGGGGTGATAATTACAGGTAGATTCGTTGGTTAGACCAAGATGAGATGTGTTTGTTGTTCTTTTCATTTTAATTGTATCCTTTTTCTTCTTACTCTTATTCTTAATTTAAAGTAGGTACATACGTCTCGTAAATAGTTTTGCCATATATTTCTGATAGGACAGAGAATAATCAAGAGTAAATATGTGTTTTGATATTTCTTTATTGAAGAAAAAAAAAATCACAAAAAAAATCATTGAAAATGAATGATAGATTTTTAATCGTAAAAGATAATAGAACACATTCGTATCTCTGATCGAAAGTATGTACGTACGTACATCTTCGGGATATGGATACGGAGTTACAGAGAGTATAATTGGTCGGCCGGAATGCGACACGATCAGAATTCTCGTGTCGTTTTAAAAGTAATCCTTCCGATTCTGCCAATACCGACTAATTCTGTTTTGTCGCGCCGCTAAAAAAACTGACACTGTTCAAAGACGACAATAAGAAGCGGTTGTCGCCAAATATGCTCATTTTACATTACTCTCAAATTCAAAGGGTTATGTACGTGCGTGGTCCTTCGTGACTATCGATCGAATTCACCATAAGAATTTTAACGATTTAGAAGAATTCGATTCATCGGAAGAGAGTTTCGACATTCGAGGATTTTTAAAAGAACTCGTAACATTTTATCTTCAATTTGTATAATATAAAGAGTTTTTTTTTTTTTTGGGACCAGTAGCAGGTTTTAGCTTAAATTACATTTATTTACATAACAATATATATATATATATATTACATTTGGATAGTCAAAAAAGAGTCGCGATTCGTTCCCCAACGACGAAACGGTCGAATGTTGAAAATTCTTTATTCGTTTTAACTGTCAGTTGGTACTTGAAAAAGTTTCAAAGGTAATATAGTACCATGAAAATTAAAAATTACGATCCTTTTCCAAATCTTTCTGCAAAATGTTCGATTCCAGTTAAAATACGATTCGTGAGATCCCACCAGCCAATGTCATTGCCGTTCATTCTACCGTGTCCAATAGCCTCAGCTAGATGAGTGGGAAAAGTGATCTTATGCCTGGCAATACTCTTCAATACTAATGCCGCTATGTAAACGACAAAATAAATGCTGAAATAGAGCGGAATGTACCAAAGTTTTTTCCCAATGAAATAATACGAATAGGGTCTTTTATCGAGTCGTTGATCGTTCATCTCAGGTTCAGGAGTAGTGGGATGATCATGATGATGATGATGATGAATATATTCCGGTAAATGATCATAGATCACTTCGTGATGATGATAATGATCGTGATCATGAGGATAACTGTCGTCGTCGTTATCATCGTCGAAGGTTGGTCTATCAAATTCGATCGGTTTTGATGGTGAATGATCGTCGTCGAAGGTTGGTCTATCAAATTCGATCGGTTTTGATGGTGAATGATCGTCGTCGAAGATTGGTCTATCAAATTCGATCGGTTTTGATGGTGAATGATCGTCGTAAGGAAACTTTCCAGAAGGAAAACTTGAAAAATCCATTTCGTCATTCTGATGATTTGGAAAAGAATCCATTTGATCCTTGTACGTATTCATCGGCTAAAATCGAATATAACATACATTGTATTATAATATAACGCATTGATGAATATTAATGAATTAAACGATACTTACTTTATCGTTATTCATAATAGATGGATAATTATCCATTCCAATTGGTTTCGAGATCGGATTATCGATAATATAATCTTTGGGTTTGTCGTAATCGCTCGTTTTGTAATTATAAGGCCCGACGTATACAGGCCTCGAATATCCTGAAATACTCGAACTCGGCGGATTATCGGGACTCGAATCAACCGACGAAGACATTGGAGGATTCGATGAAACTTGTTGTAGTTTGGCTTTGTGCTCGAAACTAGCTGGCGGATGAAATCTTTCTTGTATCTTGATTTTTGATTTCGCCGAGTCTAACTTCGCCAATAAATCCTCGTCTATGGTCGAATACCTGACGACATTATTACGCAATGTCTTTTATATTGTTCTATTCAATTTAATCACGAGTCATAAATGAACTTACCGTTTTGTCGAAGGATGATCGATAACTTCTCCGTTTTTTAATTTTGGAGTTTTGGATGGCACGTAAATCGGTGACACAGTGATAACGATGTCCTTAACACTCCTACCCTCGTTTTCGGCGTTGCTGGAGACATTGGCTCGCGTTAGTGCCCTTAAAAAAGAAAAAAAAAAAAAAAAGAAAAGAAAAAATATGAAAAAACTTTTTCAATTCTATCTCCCATTAAAAATTCAACTTTTTATTTAACAAGCACGTTTCCTTCTTTACTGCGTAAAATGACCTCACGATTTTACATCGAACCATCCAATTTGTCAGACAAATAAGCGCTCTCTTATTGTATTTTTATGTTTGACGTGCTGAATGAACCTTGTGATCCATGAAAATGGTCCGCTTCCGGTATTCTTCGTTTCTTGACCATTCTTCGATACTTTCGCGTATGACGTTATTTCCGGTAACGTCAATGTAAATGCCATCGTCAAATCAAGGAGTAGGAACGCGACCAAAATTCGTGGTATCATCGTTCCTGATTTCTACGGATGAATGGTCAATGCCACCTAACTTCTGGACCTCATATAGACTCGTAACTGTAACGGCACGAGTAACTGGTGGGAAAACTTTTGTCCAAAGGATTCTCTACGAATCGCTTTGAAACTCTAAATCAACAATTTCGACATAGAGATCGAAAGAAAAAAAAAAGAAAAAAAAAGAGAAAAAAAATTAGCAGCGTTGCAATTCTGCTAAAATAAAAATTAAATCGATCGAGCATCGTCACGTTTTCCGAATAACAATTTGGTCTTATTGAAGGGGGAAATTTTTAATATTCTTGTTTTTTTTTTCTTTCTTTCTTTCTTTCTTTCGTTCTTTCGTTCTTTCTTTACGACAAATTTTTCCACGTAACGAAAACGTTTGTTCGATTCTTCGTACGTTCATTGATGTTAAAATTCGTCAAAAAATTCCAATGGCACGTCAATACATATCCCGTCTAGTTTGACGATACTAATGAGACCAAACGATGTCTGACTAAATCGCTCTAATTTTCTTCACAAACTATAGCGCACCGTTACGAGGATAATATTGTCGTAACAACGTGTGAATTAAGAGAAAGACAAACAAACGTTAATCGACCTCGTGCGCGAGAAATGTTTTACTCGAAAATGCGTAACTCGTAATATATAATAAATTGAAGATGTAGACTGATGAATTTGTTTGTTCAAAGATAACAACATAAGAAAATATTCAATGAGGTAATAAGTAAGAAGGATAATAAGTAATCATTTATATTTATATGGTTTACAGGATTATTGTTTTCATAGAAAACTCATCATCCATTTCTAATGAAACATATCTATCTATTAAGCATATTATCGTACAGAAAAAAAAATGTATGTATGTGTGTGTGTGTGTGTGTGTGTACTATGTATATATATACATACACACACACACACACACATTTATGTATGTATGTATGTATGTATGTATATATATATATAAAAGGTAAAGTTTGCCATGTCTCCTGCCAAGAACAATATTTACAACGTACATTAACTATACAACTTTTATATACAAAAAACATTAACTGTATAATTTACATACTATCGAAATCTTATTTATCATTAAATGACGCCATCGTTATAACAATTCGTATATACGGAACGATTATGAAATTGTTACGGAAATTTGTAGAAAAAAAAGGGGGAAGAAGAAAGGAGAAAGAAAAAATATATGTATACGTTTCTCTAAAGGACACACGATCGGATAATTAAGAATAAAAAGGGTTCGCACATTCTTTCTTCCCTTTTTAATTAATCGTTCTTTCCTTCTTCGTAAATTATTCAGAGATCTTCAAAAGGAACTTATATATATTTTAAATGTCCGGTCGTATCTCTATCGTAATATTACAATCCTCATCCTCTTGGCCCTCTATAAAATTAGGATTAACCAATCCATTTTGTCCCTCGATTTTCTCTTGATTAGTCGTAATCGATGATTTCTCAATAGCCTCGAGATTTTTCGCATTTTTAATAGCCTCGAGATCCTTCGGGGAGATATCCTTTTCCATGACAAAATTCTCGTTGTCGATTCCAAGCGCATCGATCGATTTCTTCTCCTTTTCATTGTCCGTTCGATGCTGATTCTTTTCGTCCAAAGCGATCTCAACGATACCACGATCAAGACCATTCTGATTCTCCATCATCGTCTTTGGTTTTTTCTTTACAATGTCGTTCCCTTCGACTTGAGGCCTTTTCTTCAAATACAACGCATTGAAGAAGAAGTATATTAAACCGGTCACTAAGGAGATCACAGCGAAGATCTGATACGTTGGTCTGGTACCGAATGCTTTCATCAGATAACCACCGACCAAACTACCAGAACCTTTACCTGTGAACAATATATATATGGAATATTATATATGTACCAAGAACAATAAAAGAAAATCGAATTAAACAATATAAAGTATTATTATTATTATTCTCTTACCAACTCCATAATAAAGTCCACCGAGTAATCCCTGTATCGAGGTGTCCGTTGTAGAGGTAGATAATTTTGCTGCGTAAGTAACAGCTGCCGTAAAACTGAGAGACGATGTAACTGATTCGAGAGCCTCGAAGATCAATGTAAGCCAAGGATTGTAAATCAAAGAGTAACCTAAAACAAATAATTGTCATCGATAAACTCATTTAATATACGAGTTAAAATCTTTTTCTTTTTTTTTTTTTCATTTTTTTTCTTTTTTTACAGGAATGTACACGTGTGATTTTTCTTTTTTTTTCTTTTTTTTTTTTTTTTTTGATTTCTCACCACAAAGCCTGACAGCATAAAAAATAAAACCGATGAAAAGGACATTAGCATGGCCGATCTTCGATATGATTGGTCCAGAAAGAACGAGCAAAGGAATTCCTGCTATACCACCGACCGTTATAGTAATTCCCATGAGTGATCTGGAACCTCCTAAATCCTGGATCAACCAAAAGAGGAAAGACTCGATGTATCCCCAGGCGGTGCCTTGAAATATTTTGTTATTGTTACATTTATATTTCGTTAAGATTTAAATGATAATTAAAGAATCTTGTATAGGAACTTTTTCTCACCGAGAATAAAACATGCTATGAAAAGAGCGACCACTTCGACGTTCTTAAGAACTGTGAGAACGTCACTGACAACATTAGTTGCAGGTGATTTGAATTCCAAATTAATAGCTAACATAAGGAAACCCGATATCAATTTCAATGCGGCGTATAAATAAAATGCTGGTCTAGAAATAGAAAATAACATTAACAATCGTACATGTTGTTCAATGAAAATAAATATATATATATATATATATATATGTATATATCGATTGGATCCTTCGATCGTTCGGAAGAGTTTACCTAAAGTCCGTGTATCCTTTATCCCTACTGGCATAATCTATCAAAAGACCAGACAACGGAGACGAAATCATACCACCGATACTTCCGTAAATTCTTTGAAGACCGTAATCCGCCTCCTGTTCTCTCAATATTGCAATAACTGCACCTTCGAACATGGCGAAGGTGGTTCCACCGATGATTCCTAAAATAAAAAGCAGACATTGATAAGTCATTGGATTTATTGGAACGATATCGACGCTTATTTCTCAAATTCACTTACCAATAAATACTCTAATCACCAGGTATAACCAGAACGTCAATGTAATGTTATACTCGACTTGCATATCCATGTTCAAACATACATCCTTTCGGGGCATTGTAACGATACATTTTTTAACACAATTCTCAATATCGAGTATTTGATATGGTTCTGGACTTTGGGCATAATCAAGGAGTGGAACTTTTACAACGATCGTTTGATCATCTTCGTTAAAATTTTTACAAATTACTTTCTCAAAAATTTCACCATTCCAGGATACTTTCTCTGCGAGAAATTTTTGTCGTTCCTCTTCTATGTCCTCCTCCGTCGTTTCCAATTTATTTAATTTCGATAAATAGGATTGTCTGTTCATAGTTCGATCGATTTTCTCCTACGATTATATTATAATGAAGTATTGCAGTGTATTTTCGTTAAATCGATTTAACATAATAATGTTACAATTTATCAGATCTCACATTGGACGAATCAATGAATTGTCCGAAAGTACATAGGGTTCGATTTTCGTAAACTTTGACGGAGTCAAAATTTTCGAGAAAAGTCGACGGACTGCAAGAGAATTCGTAAAGTGAATTTGTTGGGAAGAAATAAGTGTTCTTTGACAAACGACGAACCGACGTTTTAAAGAATTCATTGTTTTTCAATTTACGATTTATTCTCATGTCCTGTATTTGACCGATGTCCTGCGAAAAGAAAAAAGTTCTTTTTCTACCTCCTCTTTCTTTTATTTAACCAACTTAAAATCTACAATGATTTCTATTCGGACAAATCAATAAAATATAAATACCTGTGGGATGTTATTCAAAGAGGCAGTATACTTGAACGAATCATTGGCACCCATTTTAAAATCGTAACTCATAATCGTATACAATCTCGAAGTTAATAGGGCTTGCGAATTGGTTTCATTCTGTTCGTCTATGTGACAGGCATACCTAAAAAACGTCTTTACGCTATTCAGATAACAATTTTTTTTTTTTTTTTTTTTTTTTTTTTTTTTTTTTTTTTTTTCTTTTTTAATAGGAAGGATTAAAGCATGAATTAAATAAGACGAAAACAGGAAGATGAAATACGCGAATCGGTATCTCGTAATAAATATTATAACAATTATTTAAAATTAAGCTCGTCGTAATAATTATTATCTCTTTGGATTGTCATCTTCGTAGTTAAGATCATTAAAAGTAATTATCTTTGCTATACAATTAATTTTGTTCTTTCCTCGAGATCAAACAGGAACACAATGGAGAGGCATGAATTTAATCTAATAGAAAAAAAATCTCTAAATTTAGTAGAAATAAATCTCTAATGAAATTCGTACTTACCCACAGCTCTCTATCTTTGTAGCAATCTCTGAGCTCAAATCCGTTTCGCAAGGGTGACTTTGACTCATCGAATATATGAGCTCGCCATTTTTACTTGCACAACTCGCGTCCATTATAACTCTCTCTGGAAATTCGACTGTAACTCTGCCTATTGGAACGAGTAAGAGAAGTAACGCTGCTACACCGCCAAGAGAAGAAAAGAATGATAATAATATCTGCAATCAGGAGAAAGAAAAAAAAAGAAAATCCATTAATGACGAACCATGGCGTTTTTTATTTTTACAAATAAAACCCATTGATTTACCCGAAAATTTCCAACTCGATCGGCAAACATCCCAGCCAATGGTGGCATCACTATAGCTGCGATAGGTGTAACGGCACTCATTATGGCTGTTTCTTCTACATTTATACCTAATTCTCTCATGTGAATCGTCAGATAAGGATAAAGTACGTAGAGCGCTAAAAGTAGAAAGTATTCGATAATTGTCAATTTTGCCGTTATATAATAGAATTGAAAAAACTGTTCTTTATTTTTTCGTTTCCTTCCTTGCTTTTTTACTTACTCGACGCCTGAACGAAAAATATCAATTTGAGAGGTAGCAATTCTTTGTGCCGAAAATCTTTGGCAATACGCCGAAAGAAACTCTTGATCAACATCATTGTCTTCGTTCTTCCTTTTTTCTTTCTTTCTTTTTTTCTTTTTTTTTTGCTCTTTCTTTTTTTAGTACCCTCGTACTTCGTATTTTTTGTTCGTCAACAGTTCATGAATAAAATTAACGAATAATCTTATATCTCAATTCGATCGAGTTGTATTATCATTCTCAATAATCGATTCTCCTTTCATAATCTGCGTATAAATCAATATGAATGATTGTTTATAAATTAAAATTAAACAAGATAATAGTATATTATCAGAATGAAAACATTTCGAATGATTCGTAATGATATTATTTACGAGAGTATCAATATGTAAACGAGTAGTATTTTTAAATCAATGCAATCATGCGTATACTACGGTTCAATGTAACACACTGGTAAACTGACTCTACACGAGCGTATCGATAAAAACAAAGTGAAACAAAAAGAAAAAAAAGAATACTCTTTTGTCATTCTCCTTATCCCAACACGTATTTCTCTCGTATTTACGAAGTTCAACGGGACACATCAATCACGATAACACGCTTTAATCCAATTAAAATACTTGTTTACGATTAATTGTATCAACGTCACATATATCAATTCCAATATGTTTTTATTACGATCAAAAGATGATGAGTAAAAAGAATGATACTCAGTTCTAATGGATTTTTATTCAAATTCAAAGATGAATGGAAGGATGATAAAGCTCGAGTACTTGACCGACTAACGACTGAAATCTATCTGAGAAGCAAACGGAAGGCATTTGGTGTCGATGCCGTTTGCTTCCATGAGTTGGGCGTGTCAAAAAAAAAAAAAAAAAAAAAAAAAAAAAAGAAAAAAAAGAAGAAGAAGAATTACATTTAATTTCACAGTGGACAAATGTCAAAGAGAGTAGAAATATGTTACTTAATCATTAACAGACCTGTGTCAATGTACCAGAAACGAATACGAACGTTTTCTAATGTAATTCTTGAAAGTAATGGTAATATTATTTATCTAAACGTTAAGCTAAAAAAGGAATATATAATAAATGAATATTCGTTGTTGAATATAAAATTCTAAACAAATCGAAACATCTACATTTTCAATTCTTTCAGATAAAAACTATTCTTAATTTTTAATAATACTTTTTCATTGACCAAACGATTAGATTTTAGGCGAACAAAAAAAAATAATTACTATCAAGGATTCTAAAATACCGAGGATCTTTTTTTTCTTTAATTGTCCAATCTTCGATAAACGATACCTATCCAATGATATATATTTTTACAAACGCCGACCATGATAAAGTACGCCGTAATTCAATAGAAATGTCACGACTTTTACATAACGGTTTTACAATACATGACACATCGTGCCATGATACTTCCGTTTGTCCCAACGATGAACCATCGCCCTTCTTTAAAATGATCACCAAGTATAGTATTCGAATGGTCAAGATTTTCCTTTATTCTTAATTTATATTCGAAGAGAATAACGATCGAACGAACCGAGTAACAAATTTTCTATGATTTTGATTTTCCTCGTACGTGTAAAGAAAAAAAGAAAAAAAAAGGAAGGAGAAGAAGAAGAAGAAAGAAAAAAAAAAAGAAACGAATCGCTCGTAAAAGCGTTCATCGAACGTTTAACCAACCTTCGAGTCATGGACAAAAACAATTCTCGATACTTATCCCACATAATAAAATAGACTTCATTCTCATCTTTAATTCATCGTACGAATCGATTCCGTCGTTGAAAGTGATCCGTATAACAAGGAGCGAAAAACACGAAGGAAAAATAGTTTTGAAAAGTTCTGCGGAGATAAAATAGATCAATAGAATTGTTCTTTTAACGGAAGGATAAAATAACTTAACTATTTGTAAGCTTTTTAAAAGTATCCAAAGTTCGAAGTAATCGTATCGCTCTTGTGCATATAATATATATATCGTCGAATAATCAATTTCTTGGTAATCGTTTTATTGGGATAACGTGTATACCGAATTTCTAATATCGCTTAGACGATAATCATTTTTAAGAAACGACAAATTTGATAAAGAAAATAATAAAAACTTTTCTTTATTTTTTTTTTCCTATCTCTTTTTTTCTTTTCTTTTTGTTTTTTATTTTTATCTTCGATTTAATTGCCACAAATGTCAAAATAATAATTCAACGATTACCGTAATAATTTAGCCGCTAATTAAAATGTCATTAGTTCTAGGTGCAATTTATCCGCGTTATTCTCTTCGAACAATATCGCAAAAAAAGATCAATCCAATCAGACGAATTAAATGACACCGAAATAATTCCTTGCGCTCTTTTTATCCCCCTGTCCTGGTCCCCCTCGCTCCCCCCTCCGCCCCCTATCCTTCTCTTCTCTCTCGTGGACAATATAAAGCGTTGATACGATCTACAACAATTTTCGATTCTACTACGCAGAATGTGGATCACGTGGAGGGAAGCATGCCGCAATGCAATCGTTGTTCACGCTTATCACGTATTTATTTTTTTTTCTTTTTTTTTTTTTTTTCTTTCATTTTCTTTCAATTGTTTTCTATTAATTTTTTTACCAAGCACGAACACGATTCAAAAAATTACGTAAATATCCTTTGCATTTTTCACGAAGGCGCGAACGACAAAGCTATTAGGAAAGGAAAATAATACTGTTGCTAATTATGTATCTCACTAATAGTAAACAATGCACGATCATGCGGTATCGGTAAATATATGTAAAAATAAAACAAAAGTATGTCTCAAAAGAAAAAGAAAAATCTGTGCACGATCTCCTCCTGCATTTAACATTTTAATATTTCCTTAACTGAAAGTCACGCGCGCCGATAATTGAAATCTCCGGTGTATAAGTAAATACTTGCGAAATTGCAATAGCAAACAAAGTGAGAAGAAGAAAAAAAAAAGAGAGAAAAAATAAAGAAAATAAAAAAGGAAAAGTAACGAAAGGAACAAAAGAGTAAAAAAGGTTTTCTGATTCGATCGAAAAATCAAAGAGATATCTCTCTCTCTCTCTCTCTCTCTCTCTCTCTCTCTATCCCTCTATCTGGCATTATTTTATATATTAACTCGCATAGTTTTGCTTGTGTTGCAAGAAAATTTCGAGAAGGAAGAGAAGAAGAAGAAGAAGAAGAAGAAGAAGAAAAAATTATGGCTCTTCTGGCGTCGTGTCGCGCGTATGTCCGAAGGATCACGGTGAATTACGAGACGCGAATACGGTAATTACCACGAATTGCTGGTACCGTCGACGTTCAGCGTTGGTCCATTACAAATGTAATTGCATAACTCGTACGCGCGAGCGGACCTTGCAAACGTAAGACTAGTACTAAGTACCTTCTTCCTTCAATGTTTTCTGACAGCTCCAAGATCGTTCTTTTTCTCTCTTTATCTTTTTTTCCCTCTCTTTCTCTCTCTCTTTTTCTTCTTCTTCTTCTTATTATTATTTATTTCTTCTCCATGATATCCGGATAATCGAGCGAAGAATTTCGTAAAATGGATAATTTCTTATTTACGTCATTTCAAGGGAGATTAGTTTTCTTTCTCTCTTTTTCTCTTTCTTTTTCATCCCTCTCTCTCCTCTAAATCCTAATCAATTAATATTTTACAATATCTCGTGCAAATCGTTTACCAACAATATTTCTAAATATATTTTACAAAAGAATTAAGAATTATTTTTATCATTATCAAGAATTAATCTTGATAATGATAAAAATTCTAATGTGGAACGTGATAATTTAATAGCCTAGCTATTCATCATTATAGGACAAAGTTTTGTGATCGAAAGCTTAGCAGAGGACGCGCCATACATATTTACGGACGACATATAAGGTTGATAGACACTGGTTTTCTACCGGTAATGAGAGTTTACGATCGTAGAATGCTAAATACTTATTTCCTTCGTGCTAGGGTATGAGATTAGAAGCTATAATGTATCTAGGTACTACATAAACTCTTGCGAAGGACAGAAGTGGAACTTGAAAAGGATAGGAGAAAGAAGAAAAAAAAAATATATCTAATCTGGAGTTATCGATCGTTCGATCGGATCGGTCCTTTAAAGTGTTGATGAAAATGAAAAAAAAAAAAAAAAAAAAAGAGAAAAAGAAAATAAAGAAAAGAACAGAATAAAGTATATATTTCAACATCGTTGTACAGCGTACAACATGAAATCGAAAGAACGTTGCCTAGGCGAATTTCACGCTTCACGATCACGATTAAATGCTCTCGATCCCAACGATCGATTCATTTCCGTCGTTGATGCAACGCGAAAAATCACGGATATGCCTTTTGTATCATTATGACTCTTGGTCTATCTTCTACAATCTTTTCTATAGTAAAATAATTTTATTTATTACTCTCTCTCTCTCTCTCTCCCTTAAATATGTTCCTTATAAATTAATATATTTCACGGTTGTTTCAAACTTTATTCGCTTGTTAAACGCTACGATGAGATCAGACAACAAGACGAAATCTTCTTGAAAGGTCACATGACGATTTATTTGTCACGTGAGAACGAACGCATACACTGACACACACACACATACACACAATACACGCGCGCGTGAAAGTTACTCTTTGATATTTCGAAGGAACTCATTATAATTGATTAAATGGACGTTTAAGAAGTCATTATTTATATGACCGTTTAAAAAAAAGAAATTACAAAAAAAAATTACAAAAAACAAATAAAAAAAAATTAGCAGCAGACGATTGAATGAATCAATTATTAATATATTCAGCGATTATCTTCAGTATCGTACATCGACGCCGATGAAAGTTATTTAATAGTCATAAGGAAGTGAAATAATATATTATAACGGATTGCACGTTCTTCTTCGTTCAAGGCTCAAACACGTAACGCTAATTAAATGAGGGTCACTGATAGCAATTCTATTTTATACATTTTCTTCCTTTAAATATTCCAGTATACGTTAATATCAACGAAAAGAAAGAAAAAAAACCTTAAATTAATTTTATTCGTTCCTTATATCATAAAAATGTGACGAACTATCTAATAGATTTAAAGGTTTTGTCCCTGTGCAATCAAACAAGAGGGAGAGGGAATGAAATCGTGAATGTCTATTGCGAAAGTTCACAATAGAAGGTTCGTTCAAGTATCTACGTTCCTTGAATAATTTCTGTTTAAAGTTACGCTATGTGATGTATATATGTATGTACGTATGTATGCACCATGGCTTCTCATCTATCTTAAGAAGAGAAGATCTCTTAAATGTCAGAAGAACGAAGGACGAGAAAGATCGTGGCGTGAATTACGTTTACTTCTTCGTCGAAAGAATGATTGTGATCATTGATCAACTATAATCCATCGCTGTATATTTTTATTACTTTTGCGTCTTAAAAGAAAAATATTTTATTTGCGATCAATCGTAAAAACAACTTTTGCTTTCTCTCCTTTGATCGACGAACACGAGAACGATAAAAATATATTCAAGTTCTATCGAAATCAGATAGTAACTAACTAGGTATCTTTGTACAAGATGAAGCTTCAAAATGGAAGAGTATAGAAAGAGAGAGAGAGAGAAAGAGAGAGAAAGAGATTCGTGGAACGGATCGAGTAACGGAGAATAGGATATAGAATATGTCTATATGTATGTACATAACATGTGTACATGTATCTCTTCTTAGAATGGTCCATCTCAATTATCCATTTTGTCCGATTACGTTCGAAGCTCTCCGTGTAGCGGATGTTATCGAGACATAGAAAGTCGTAACTGGGTGAACCAGTTGTTATTTACAAGACTTATTATTGAGCATGAAGGTAATATATTAGAGACAGTAAGATGGACGCCGACAAAGTTGGTGAATTTTTATATTTCATTCTTGTCTTTTTGAAAGAAGCAAAAAAAAAAAAAAGAAAAAAAGAAAAAAGAGAAAGAAAAAAAAGGAAATGAAAACATGATTGTGAAAAAGGATGATACTATATGAGAAAGATAAAAATTATTGAAATGATAAAAATAAATAGAAATATATTCATACATCGTTTCAAAATCATAAGACTTTCATTATATTATTATAATTACTCGAACTAAAAAGAGTACGCATATTCGACGATACGAGCTAACAAATTGGGGTTAATCTCGAGTGAACTCTAATCGTGACACTGTCACGTTAAACCTCGTCAAATGTCAAATATCAAATCATTATTTAATGAAATAAAGTGACATATTATTCTACAAAGATATTCTACTAAAATATGAAATATATTTTATACGGAGGACGAATTTTAAATAAGATCGAAGATAATTGAAAAACTATATACTCATCAAGGTTGTATCTTTTTGCAAGTTTTTTTTCTTTCTTTCTTTCTTTTTTTGTTTTATTTCTTTTCCTTTTTTCTGAGTAATACGAGTCCGATTCGCAAAGGTCTCATCTCGATGATCCTCGCGTGTCTTCTTCGCCATCTTTCTTTAACGATCGAAAGATATTATCATTTACGTCGATCGAGATAATTCTCAGATTCAATAATAATTAAAGCGATTAATATTTCAATCATTTATCATAAAGGAATGTTTTAATAACGATAAAAGTTATCATATCAAATGAACGTTTATGCGTTCATTAACTTGAAATGATTGTTTCTCGTTTAATTTATACCTTGTTAAATCGAAATAATTGTTTCTATATTCTACAATGTCGAATAAATATAGCGTACGAATACTGAAAAATTTCTATGAGATTATATCTTTATTAACGATCTTTATTTCTAACAAATCATGAAAGTTAAAACCTATTACAAAGTTTTTGCGTAACACAAAAGTGATTGAATTTCAGCTCAAACACGTTCTACGACTTTGTCCGCATGTATCGTACATTACTAACGTTAGATCCATTTCAAAATGAATACGTACGGATATTCTCTACGATCGAACAATGGAATTCAAAATAAATATTTATATAAAACGAAGATAAACAAGAAAATGACGATGTCGAGAGATCATTGTGAATACGAACGAAGAAATTAATTGATCGATAAATTTCCTTCCTTTCATTCCTTTCTTTCTTTCTTTTTTTTTTCTCTTCTTTCGAATCGATCGTAAAACAATTCTTTTCAGTCTTTGGTTTTTTTCCCATCGCTTGGAAATAATAAAAACGATGATTTATCCGTTCGTAAATTCTCTCTCTCTCTCTCTCCCCTTTCTTTCTGTCGTGTTTTGTAATGAGATATAAAAAGAAAAAAAAGAACATTCATCGACGTCCGTTATCAAATATATACATATATATATATATATATATATATATATATATATATATATATATTTTTTTTTATTCCTCTCTGTAATAAGAGAAAAGAACGAGCGATATATCGTCATATATAATTTATGCAAATTTATTCGCATTAACAGAATCGAAGGAGGTATTTAACGAAGAAACAAAAAAAAAATAAAGAAAAAGAAGGAGGAAAAAAGAAAATAAAAGAGAGAAAAAAAGGAAATGATACAAAGTAAACGTGTTCTAGGAGCAATCGATTTTTCTCAATTGATATAGCCCACGATCGGATTACTTAGGTAAAAGTCATCCAAGATATCGGACATTCGATGTTGCTTTCACTATGCCGCTGTTAGTCGAGCACAATACGAACGAGACAAACTAGCAAATCGGGTCAAGTGCATCGGGGCCGTTGATTATTAGCGTGTCTATCCAAAGGAGAGACTCCTCTCTCTCTCTCTCTCTCTCTTTCTCTCTCTTTCTCTCTCGGTCCAGCCTTTCTAGAGTGCGTCCGAAGAGGAACTCGCAAATTATGCGCTCGACGAGTCCTCAAGAGAATGCGCGCGAGCTTTGAAAGAATATTTTACAATATACGGACGCATACATGCGCAGATAGAACGAGGATAAGAATCCATCGCCGTGTTTGCACTTTCCATTAGAATCCTTTTACGAAGAAAATAAAGAAAAAGAAAAGGACATTGTTTCACGATTGTGAATTATGTTGATTGCGAAGTTCCAAACGAAAAAGGAAAAGAGAGAGAAAAAAAAGAGATCGTACGATTTCACTTTTACGATGTTCATAACGTTCCTAAGAGAAACGTAGACACCAAAAGAATTTTTATATTTCAATCTCTCTCTCTCTCTCTCTCTCTATCTCACTCTTTCTTTTATTATTATTCGTCAGAAATAAAGTATCGATAAAGTCAAGAGGTAAAAGTTGATTCGATACGCGAAAAGGGAAAGGAACCGAATACTCTCGAATCCCCTTTAATCCGATTACGATGTGTTTATATTATTCGTGAATGTAACATACATATACTATGAAAGTGTCATCGACTTATATTATACAGGTCACTTTTCTACGAATAATTGTTTATAAATTGCATTATACACACACACTCTCTCCCTTTCTTTCTCTTCTAAAATATTCTTATAAATTTAAATACATAATGTATAATCAATACATTTATCAATAAGATATATATCCTTACTTTCACGAATGATTCAATATCAGAAAAAATTCGCACGTGGTTTATCATTAAAATTATTTATCATTGAAACAACATCAAATTAAAAGAGTAATAATTATTTTTATCTCGATGTCGACCTTCATTCCGCGTACGCGCTATTTCTTTTTCAAAATTATTCAATGAAATTACGTTGCACTCGAAGAATCAAATTTGTGCACTCGTTCTCTCTATTAACGATGACGTACTCCTTCATGATTTACGCCGAACGAATTCACAAAAGGAACTTGCGAATTACTTTAGATCGAAAGACGGATGTCATAAAAAGTGGACGCGTTAGGGTTGCCTCGGCAAATTACCGATAATTTGTCACGCGCGAGAATTGTTGAACTCTCTCTCTCTCTCTCTCTCTCTCTCTCTCCCTCATATCAATCGAATTGTTTTCGAAACTTTTTGAAAATATCTTTTGTTAATATCGAAACATAAGGTATAAGAGGCACTCGAAAAATTATATAATAATTATTTCTCTTAATTACTTTTACATGTTTAAACAGTTGGTTATTCGTATAATATATTATTAATAAGTAATAATAATTAGCTTACCTTCAACGCATTCCATAAAGTTCACTCACGTTCTGTAATGTTTCGCGTTGAAATAAAATTGATCGTTGATATTTTTGAAAAATAAATTCGAGACTAAGATTCTTCCAAGATGGATATACGAGGATTGTAAAGTAATATATATATATATATTTATATATTACTTCAAATTGCTGAAGTAGTAATTAATTAAAAAAAAGATCGATATGATCGAGTCGATCGATGCCACGTAATCCACCACGAAGATCGCGTTCTCGGTCGAGAATAGTAGTTCTCGTCGTAAAAGTTCAGTTATTTTTTCTTTTTTTTTTCTTTTCTGTTTTTTTTCTTCTTTTTTTCCTTTTTTTTTTTTTTTCTTTTTATTTGTTACGAATAAGTGTTACGATCACGTTCGAGTATGTACTCGTATGTCCGCACAACGCGAAGTCGTGCAGGCTACTGAGCTCTCCGATCGCGCTATGCCAACACCGGTTCGAAAACACGTATTCTAATAAACCGAAGGTTGTGTGGTCGAAGTTTATCGTAAATATAATATATACAATTTATTTTACAAGATGAATGAGTAAGTAGTTTTATTTATATATATATATATTTTATTTTTTATTTATTTCTTTTTCATTTGTTAATAAGTGACACTCGCTGAAATAATATTTCTCTAAGATTGAGGATATTCAGTTAAATATAACGTTTTTATTGTCGTGCCACAACAAATTATATGGTGTCAAGCGATAAACTCACTACCTAAGGAGAAATTATCAATTTATAAGCACCGATTATATTGTCCATAAATATAATATGAAACTGTACATTTATGCAATTCATATGACTTGTTTTGTATTAATTTTGTCTTGCGTGTGAAAAGAAAAATTGAAAAATCAAGCGGTGAAATAGTGATAGCCAGTGGAAACAATGTGAAAAAGTAATCGATCATTTAAACGATCTAGGTGAATTATAAGTGGGAGTAAATCGATAAAAAAGAAATGGTGATACTAAGAGCTTGTCTCATAACTTGGCTGAAAGATAAATTTTTACTGTAGGATTCCATTGGAATCTATTTATATACACGTCGGTTTTCTTAGATGTTATAAACCTCTTGTATATCGCAATGATCGATTGCCACATAAATCGGAATAATAGGCGTTTCAAGCGAAACTGGAAAAGTAAACTCTTTTTTTTTTGCACAAAACGATCGAGTTGAGATTTCTACGGCATTGACGTTCCGCACGATAAAAGGTAATGTTACGCAAGCTTAATCTACGTAGAAAAATTTCCAAAGAAATATTCTGAGGATTTGTATTATCCATTTTTTCTTTTTTTTCATATGGCAGAAAAATTTTGCATGTTTTCATTACGTAAAACGGGACTCTTGACGTTTTAAGTTCTATTGTAAAAAAAAAAAAAAAGTAATAAAATAATCTGTCGTTCAATCCTTCCTCGATAAAAGTAGAAAAAAAATGATCGTTGTTTGATAGCCGCAATTATGACATTCATATTTCATCAAGAATCTTGAAAAAATATTCGACCTAAAGGATATTTACAAATGTCAATTGAAAACAGATATTAACACAATCTTATATAATTCACAAAACTTGATTTACCTCTAAAGGTCCATCCTCTGGTAAATCTGAACAATGGACAGCATTTTGTACTTTGGTATTTCCATATTTTGCTCTTAAGGTATTTGGTCTTATCTGACGTGCAATATCCTAGAAAATAAGATAATAAAAAAATTAACGTATATTTTCTCGAAAGAATAATATAAAAGTATTTACCGGATCCATCGGACCACATAATTTTCTAAAGTCTGCATGTATATCACAATTTTCATCCTTATGAGTTATCTCCATTGCGATGCAAGGTCCTGTCTGTAACTCACTTACCATAGCCTGTTTTAAATATTGGTATTAGATTAATAATTCTGTTATATTTTTTTTTGTATATCTTATTTAATGTAAAAAAAAAAAAAAAAAAAAAGGGAAAAGAAAAAGAAACTCCAAACTTACTCCATACTCTGCAAGTACTCCTTTATAAACTTCCAAGAATTCTTCTGCATTAACTGAGTCTACATGAAATTGTTGAATTGCAGTGATTGTATAACCAGCTTTCTGAATATCTTCAATAATATGACCTAAACCATATTCATGCAACATGATTAAAATGACGAATATATAATCTGATAATTATCTATAAGACAAATTATAGATTACCTATTAGTTTTTGTTGCACTGCATGTGGTTTAATAATACAGCATGTACAATTTTTTAACGTTGCAGTATTGCTAGGTCCTTTCCTCTTGCTTTTTTGATCAGGAAAGAAAAAGGATAATTCCTGAAAAGGAATAAGCTAAATCAAATTAAATTTGAAATTTAAAAAAAGAAAAGAAAAAAGAAAAGAACAATGTACATTCTCTGCTGCTTCTGGATTCTCAGAGCCATGAATGCCATTCTGAATATTGTCCTTTCCATAACATGCTCTTAAAGAGGATGGTGCAGTCTTACGAGCTTCGTCGCTATCTTCTGGGCCTATTAATTTCTGCCATTGTGCAACAGCATCATCTCCTAAAAGTTCCAGTGCTAAGATAGGTTCAGACGTAAGAAAATTTATAATGAATCTGTATGAGAAAAAAATATATGTATATACGTAGAAAACATGTAAATTACATTTAAGAGATTTAATACTTACGGCAATTGAGTTGATTCTTTTCCTTTACAAAATTCTGTTGCTTGCTCTTGGGTAAGTTTTACCATCTTAATATTTGCAACATGAAAATTGTGAGCTATAATATTTTTCAATATTTCGCCCATTTTATCCATTACATCCGGCTTTATAATTGCAAAAGTTCTGTAATTTGAAAAAAAGAATTTTTATAAAATGAAAAATTTAAGCGATATTATTTGTATAACATTAATAATACTCACTTCTGTGTTATTGTTTGCAATTTAGCCTTTGTACTCTTATCGGCAAAGTCAATAATTTTTATGTTTCGTGAATATATTGTTATAACTGCTCCAACATAAAAATCTTTTGCTTTAATACCCTCGCATTTGGTTCTTCTTAAAAATGTTTTCTTTGTCTTTATATCAAACTGTAATATTTTCATAACATTGTACAAAAATATTTACATTACAAGGATTGAAAGAATATAATTTATAAAACATACCAATTCTACTGTATTGTCTGCTGGATAATAATATAAATAAAATTTTTTCAAAATACAAGCAATCTTGTCATACCATTCTGCTTCAAAAATATATCGTTCTGTGTAGTCTGTCGACATTGCTGTTAAATTACAATAATAGAGGACAGTCGTTAATCTACCTTAAACAATAAAACGATATAAATTGGTCGTCCATAAAATAAGAACATTTTCCAATAATATAAAAATACATACGTTTTAACTATATAACACTAACACTAAACGACATAGAACGTTTGACAGTTTCTATGACGATAAACATTTTCATTCGATGAAACGAAATTTCATACGATACGATTAAGGGATATAACAATTTGTAAAGTACATTATTAAATATCGATGATAAATTGTCAATAAATTTTGGTCTCGAGTTTGAAAAGCACGAGGGAGCATGAATTAGTGCTATACTAGCGAATCTATCGAGAATAATGGACATTAACAAAAATTAGTTTCCTATATGTATGTTGTGTGTGATGGTGACGGCGCGAATACGATAAATACAGTATGATATAGTAAGATAGTATTGAAAGATGCGGGACTTTACGTCCGTTCTTTCGTTTATAAGGTTTCAATTAAATAAATAAAGTGAATGTAAAAACGAATCATTTTACAATAATTTTATATATAAGAAATATTCTAAGAAAACCACTGACCGTTCTAACTATATAATAAAATGCTAGTATGCTGGAATTACTGGACTTTGATTAGGTTAAGATTTTGATGATCCAGTAATGATACTTAGGAAACTATTAAACTAAAGTGAATTTTGTCGTTACTTTTAATCAATGCGATATAACAGTGCTTACAATGCATAAATAATATTTTTTTCAAAATGTCTCATGTTGAGTCATGCAAAGATCGTCAGGATAATGAAATGGAAGCATTAAAAGTATAGTTATTTTTTTTTTCTTGTTGTCGTGCGTATATTTTCGATTGTGTTTACATTTTCTTTCTTTTTTAATATTAATCAAATATTCGCAGTCTATATTTGGTGATGAATTGTGTGATTTGAGAAAAAATAAAACTAAAAGGAAATGGCAACCATTAGATATTTTGATAACATTAACACCACAGAAAGGAATGTCTGGTCCAGCTCAAATTTATGCACAAATAGATTTACATATCACCTGTGGAGAAAAGTATCCTGACATGTAAGTTGACACACTTTTCTAATTCATTTTATACAAATTTGTATTTCAACAACAACAACAACAACAACAACAAATGATTTTAGAGTACCCACCATAGAATTAAAAAATAGCCAAGGTCTGTCAAATCAGCAAGTAGGAGTTTTATATTCAGAGCTTGAATATTTGGCACGTCAATTAAGCGGCGAAGTTATGATTTTTGAGCTTGCCCAACACGTTCAAAAATATTTACACGAACACAATAAACCAAGTTATAGTAGTTTTTATGAAGAAATGATATCTAGACACCAAGAGAAAATACAGTATGAAATGCAGGAGAGACAACTTAAAGAGGATAAAGAGAGACAGGTTATTATTATACTATAATTATATATTATATGTATATGTTTTTACTATTGTTTTTACTTAATCTATCATTGTATCATAAAATAAGGTATTACAAGATGAGATTCAGAAGCGTCAAGAGGCATTGAAAGCTGAAATGCGTAATCATAGAGATCTTGTTCGAAAATCCATTGAATCGGACATAGTTTCTCAAACTTTACCATCCTCACCGCATGAGAAAGTAAGGACATATTCTAGACGTAGATGCATGAGTACATCTGAAAGCTCGGAAGGTTCTTTATGCGAGCATAGGGGTACGAAGCTTCTCCACTTTGATAATAGTAAAGGAGAAAGACAAGTCCATAGAGGAAAATGTTTGGGACATAGTTCTAAGGGTTCTATCGTTTATGCCGGTTTGGATATGACATCGGGTGAATTATTAGCGGTTACAGAATGGACATTGAAATATGGTTTACAAAATGAAAAGCATGGAATACGTGATACTGCAGATTTACAATATGCTATGAAACAAATAGGTAGTCTTGAGCAAGAACTTAATCATTTACATAAATTGCATCATCCAAATTTAGTGCATTATTTAAATATGAGATATCTGCAGGATAACAATAATATAGTCATTTATATACTTCAAGAATTTGTGGTAGGTATTTGTATATTTATATTGGTTTTATATAATGATTGTTGTATATTGTAACGTATCAATTTATATATACATATATGTATATTTATTAAGTACTCTAATAAAAACATATATACTTTATAAAAATAGGTTGGTACGACATGTGCATTTTTTCTTATGGAAAACATTTCGATTGATATAGACATACTCAGGCATTTGGCTTCTGGCATTCTCTCAGCATTGCAGTACCTTCATGAGAATAATGTTGTACATAGGGATTTGCGTGATACAAGTGTTTTTATAGATCATACCGGTGTCATAAGACTAGCAGATTATTCATTAGATAAAAGATTATCAGATATATATCGTACTAGTTCTTTGGCTAAAGTAGAGCATGATTTTCCAACGATTCAAGGGAGAAGCGGTAAAAAGGCAGATATTTACCGATTCGGTATATTGGTGCTTTCTTTATTGAAAGGAACGATAGTGTCCGAAAAGGATGTCGATTTAGCAATAATTTTACAGGTATTTTATAATTAATATATACTATGTTCTACTCTATATTATTAAAATATTATGATAGTTTTGTATATTTTTCAGCCTCACTTAAAAGACTTCATTTCAAAATGCCTTATTAGTGATGAAAGAATGCGTTGGTCTGCTGAACAACTTCAACAGCACAGTTTCATTAAAACACCTCTTGATCGTGGTTTGTCTCCTCCTAAACTTAAAAATAATAATGAACAAAAGTCTGACGAACCTGAAGAGCCAGACTGTGACATTCAGCTTTATCTACCAACATTGGGTGGACAGTCGCGCATACAAAATGAATTTGAGATATTAAAGTGGCTGGGAAAAGGAGCCTTTGGAGATGTTTTAAAAGTTAGAAATAAATTAGATGGAGGTGTATATGCCATCAAGCGAATCGAATTGAATCCGAAAAATCGTCAATTAAATCGAAAGATCACACGTGAAGTAAAATTACTTTCACGTATGAATCATGAAAATGTCGTTCGTTATTATAACTCATGGATTGAAAGTGCTACCTTGGATGATTCGCTCCAGCATAATGAATTAACGTCAGTGACTACTTCCTCATTAAATACAAGCAACAAACAGGCCAAATTAGATATAGTTAACGTAAATATATTATTAATGATGTTATCAATAAAATTGAATCAAATAATATATATATATATATATATATATATATATATATATATATATATATATGTGTGTGTGTGTGTGTGTGTGTGTGTGTGTGTGTGTGTGTGTGTGTGTGTGTGTGTGTGTGTGTGTGTGTGTGTGTGTATAACGCTCGTTGTATATTATTTATTTATACCGATGTCTACTTTTCTTGTCTTGTAAAAATATCTGACGTGAAATTTTAGCATCTGGGAAGTGAAGATATAGAAAGACTTGCACCACCTTTACACGACGTTGAATGGAATATATCTTATGAATCTGTAGCAAGTGCAGCCAATACAGCTGATAGTGACAATGATAATACAGATGCATCCTGTGATTCTGATAGCGACGAAGATAGTTCATTTTTGTGAGTAATTTAACAAATTACTATTAAAAAGACGTTTCATTAACTTGCAATAAATATATATTTTAGAATGAGAACATTCCTTCGAATTGATTCATCAGATAGTATAGAATTTGAAAAAGATGGCATTTCTCAAACTACTCCTGATAATTCTGATAATCATGAAAAAATTAATATCAATATTACTAATACTTCTATAATAAAAGAAATACAATTTATGTATATACAAATGGAATTTTGTGAGAAAAGCACTTTGAGAACTGCAATTGATAATGGATTATACGAAGATGAAGAAAGAGTATGGAGATTGTTTAGAGAAATTGTTGAAGGCCTTGCACATATACATCAGCAGGGTATGATACATAGAGATCTAAAACCTGTTAATATTTTTTTGGATAGTAATGATCACGTTAAAATTGGAGATTTCGGTCTTGCTACAACTAATATATTATCGTCATTAGCACAGACCGTTGATACCGATAAAGAAGCTGATAAGGTAGAGAAAGGTATGATTTTTAATACTCTTTACGTTTGCTCTTATAATTATTTAACTTGAAATGCATCATTTCTTATTTAGGTACAAGTTATGACGTAGATGAATTAGGATCTTTAACAGGTCAAGTAGGTACAGCTTTATACGTAGCGCCAGAACTTTCTGCTAAGGCTGCAAAGGCTATTTACAATCAAAAAGTAGATATTTATAGTTTGGGAATTATACTTTTCGAAATGTGTTACAAACCTCTTAAAACTGGAATGGAGAGAGTAAAGATATTGTTAAATTTGAGATCGAAAGATGTTATTTTGCCCTCTGACATATCAGAAGGCGATATGCCTCATCAAGTACATATTTTTCGGTAATAATCTGCACGATATTTGATTTCTTTTAGAAAATATTTTTTCTAAATAAAGATAGAATTAAAAATGTTTCCTTTATTACTCGTAGTTGGTTATTGAATCACGATCCTAGTCAACGACCAACGGCACAGGAATTATTATCATCGGATTATTTACCTCCTCCACAATTAGAGGAGACTGAACTTCAAGAAATGGTACGACATACGTTATCTAACACTCAAAGCAAGGCATACAAATATTTGGTCGCTTCTTGTTTTACCCAAGAAGTAACGCCAGCAGAAGATATCACGTATGACATGAATTTGCCTGCTAGAGGAATTGCAAATCTCATTTCATCAAAAAGATTGTACTTACAAGAGAATGTGAAAGCTAAAGTCATTGAAATATTTCAAAGACATGGTGGTATTTATTTAGCAACTCCACTTTTAATGCCAAAGTCTAATCAGCATAATAATTTTATTGACGCAAGCGTAAAACTTATGACACGAACTGGTAGTATTGTCTCGATACCACACGATCTAAGAGCTCCGTTCGCCAGATATGTCGCTTGGAATAATATCTCTCATCTTCGGAGATACGCGATAGAACGTGTATTCAGAGAGAAGAAGGTAATATATATGCATAATTCATTAGAGAATTATATAAATATCACATATTATAATCGTTCGCATTATAGGTTCGTGGATTTCATCCGAGAGAATTGTACGAATGTGCTTTTGATATAATAAGTCCAATGGCTAATAACTTAATGGCAGAAGCCGAACTAATATTCATAGCTTGGGAAATTTTCAATGAAATTCCTCAATTAAGAGAACGTAATTTTACAATACGTTTAAATCATACATTATTATTACAAGCTGTATTAATGTATTGTGGGATAGAACGTGAAAAGTATCAGGATATTTATTCTATATTGTGCGACGCACGTGACGGCAAATTTTCAAAGTTTCAAGTACAAACACATTTAATTAGCTTATGTCTCACGGACCAAGCGATGGAAACGCTTTTTAATTTATTTGAAACTGAGAGTTCTGTCGCCAAGATTACCAGTATTCTAAGAACAATAACAAGAAGGAAAGGTGATGCAGCAGGATTAGCGAAGGAAGGTTTACATGATATAGAAATAGTAATCGCCAATATAGAAGCTTTAGGTGTTAAGGTAATTATAAATATGTTGGAAGAAGATAACGTTGGATTGTTAATTCTTTAAATAAATTCTTATGTCGAACATTTTAGTGGCCAGTTACGGTTGTTCCATTGTTGGTTCATAACGTTCAACAACACAGTGGTGTCATATATCAGATTACGTGCGAAGTAAAGCGTAGACGAAGAAGAGGTGGACAAGACGTTATCGCTGCTGGTGGTCGTTATGATAAGATGTTAATGTCATTTAGACAGATATTGGAACGTACGGGAATGACTAATAAAGAAAATAAACAGTATGGCGTTGGAATTAGTATATCACTGGACAAGTTAGTTTGTGCAGTTGATGAAATGTCTGAAAGTATTTGCGGAGAAAATAAATTTGGTATTGATATAGCTGTATGTTGCGACGGTTGTCCAAGGAGAGAAAAGGAAATGGCTAATGTACTTCGCGAGCTATGGTCAATGGGAATAAGAACTACTATATTAGATACAAATACGATAGAAGAGGTATTAGAATATTGTCAAGAACATTCTATTACTCAGATAATATTATTAAAGAACAATGAAAAAGGTTATCTAAGGGTACAGACATGGGAAAGGGATAGGTTTCAAGAAAGAAAAATTGGCATTCAAGATATTGCCGAGTTTCTTCAACGACAGACTGAAAATCCATTACCAATTTTGAATAGATCTGAAAGTAAAGTTAGTGCGAATGACGTTACAGCTTCATCCAATAATTCAACGAATATCAATATAACCTTTATTCTATCAGAGAGAGAGAAACTTTCTGGGAGTGCAAGGCGAAGTTTTAAAAATACTATGCTCGCTCAGATGTCGTCCTATTTACAGAGGATATCTCATAAAGTTCCTATAGAAATTTTTGCGGTCTTCCTAGAAATGACAGTAATACGAACGATAACCAGTTTTTTGGAGATAGATGAGGAGGAACAAGACTTTCATAAAAGCATTCAAATTGTGATTGATAAGTAAGTTATATTTATGTATTCTGATTTTTTTTTTTTATATGTATAAATATTTTTCGATTCTTTTACTATTTTATTTCTAGACACGCTAGACATAAGAAATATATCAAAGAAATCTGTGAAGAAATGAGAGAATTGCGCAGCGAGAAGTTGCGTCCAGTTCTAATATTGTACAGTCTTCTGGATTATCGATATATGACCCTGATATGAACGTTTGTATACATAAATATAAAAAGTATAAAAATATATTTTCATAATTATTCTAAAAAAATGATTAATACATTTACTTTTACCCGATATAATCACCTTTAAGATTTTTACGATTGAATCAACATATTATGAAAATAATGTGAATCATATAGTGAATTATTCGCGAAAATACGTGATTGCTTGTCGTTCATTGATCTCCGTATGACTCGAAATCGACCAATGAAATTCTTTGTTTTTATTTTAACATTGGCGCAAGCGCAGTAATTCGGTCCTGTATTTTGGTGCTCCGTTGATCATAGAATTCCATTATTGAATTATTTGAACAGTAGGTTAATTTTTTTTTATTTCAAAGAATTTTTTACTATCGTGAAAAGTGACATATAAAAGTATAGCTGCAGTAAGCTACGCGTTGAAGAAATAGAAATTTCCATAGAAAAACTCATATTTTACCATTTTTTCTTCTTCTAAATTTCATGTTATCTCAGATGGAATAATCTTTTTCCTTTGTTTAACGTTAAAATAGTAAATTTAATAAAATATTAAAGAAATTAAAAAGATATTCTTAATTCTCTCGTATCTGTAGTTTAGAAATTATTATTGACTCTTCAAATTGCGCATAAGTTCAAGATACGTATAACAACCATTACATGACTAACGGAGTCAACGAATCGTCATTTAAAACTGTAAAAGTGAACTGTCATTATATTCATTCAGAATGTCTGGTAATCCAAAATCTGTGTTTGGTTTCGAATTGTTACAAAAATTAGTTGACAATGATATTTGTAAAAAGGAAGATGTTATTATTTTGTTCGTACACTGGTATATCATAAAGTGTGGCTTTAAATGTTTAGGTTATGGAGATGTCGTAAGTAATTGAAACATTATATATTTACATAATTAAAACATACAATTAATAAACATGTATATATCGAAACATTACTTTTTATATATATATATATAAAGATTATACGTTATTTTAGACGTTATTTTTCATTATTGCACAATATTGCGGTATCTAATCTAACCTCTAATATGCATTATTTATCCCTATGTAATATCTACGATATTATACCATCCAGAATAATATTTATTTATTAAATATTTCAGAAATTATTTGATACATCTGAAAGAGGTTCAGAATTGCTTCCAGAGAACTGGAACAAAGGGCCTAATTATACATTACGTTATTTGATAGATGGCAAATTATTTCTTTTGTATGGAATAAAATCTGATGAGGATATACTTATTAATTTATTGGTAATATAAGAACGTTACGGTGTTAAGACGTGTACGTATTTGTTTTCCATAGACATTATTCTAATAAGATACTTTTTACAGAGGATAGATAATAACAATATAGGAAATATACAATTTCCTATAGAACAAACCGTTAATAAGCTTCATGGTCCTTTAGAAGAATTAATACCATCGTATCTAACAGTTATGCATAGAATTCGTAAAGAACTATTGGAACCTGTATTTCCTATTGATAGCGTAGATATGTCTACTCAAACATCAACTTCTGAACGTAAACCTAGAGATATTTGTACCGATCCATTAAGGGTTGATCCACCTCAAAGACCTTCGAGCGTTTCACAACCTTGGTAATGTTTTCATATCGATTGATTTGATCTGTCTATATATTATTCTTTAAATGTTTTAACATATAATATTTTATATTATATGTTGAAGGAATCCTGAAGCAGATCCAAGAAGAGTAGGTTCAGCAGATTTAGATCCTCTTGGAAGAGGTAGAGGTGGTGGGATGATATATGATCCATTTTCTCGTGTACCATGGGGTATGGATCCAAGAGGAATCGGTGGTTTAGGAGTACCTGGAAGATTACCACAGTATGCTTAAGAGATATACTTTGAACTATGCATTGTTTTTCTTTCTAATTACTTGATCATAAAAATATTTTTTTAGCGGAGCAGTACCACCTGGAGCAAGGTTTGATATTTTTGGACCACCCGATTTGAATCCAATACCGCGGAGACCACAAAATCCTGACAACGACGAATTACCGCCTCCAGGATACGACGATATGTTTATGTAAAAAGAGAAAACCAAGTATAAAATTAATATTAATCGGAAATTTTTTTAAATGTTATCCCGTTCCCTTTCTTTTTCTTTTTTTCATTTTTAAATCATATCTTGTAATATTATTTTAGAACGTTGATTGTAAACTATGCTCCAATATCTTGTAATAATTTCTATGATCTTACGTCTTAGCTTGTAGAAATATTTTATTTAACATCTTGTCAGATTCTGAAAATAATCATAAAATATTCTTTCCTCACAAAACGTCTTCTGTTCTTTTTTTATTTCATTACTGATGTTTACAATATAACAAAACGATTTCTTAATTAGTTTAATCAATGTCAATAATATAGTGACGAGTAAATTACATTAACAAATTAAATATATAATAATATTAATTCTTGTTTAAATTGCGCTAACTCGTTAAATTTATTATTTCTTGTTTAAATCGATTTGAAGGGAGTGACTATTATTTCATTACGTCTGTTCAAAATAGAGGATTTCTTTGTTACCTAAGTTATTCCTGTTCTGGGTATTCACATTGGATGAAATTTATTTAAAAACGAAGCATATTGACCATTACACAAACATGATTTACGGTCACCATCATGAAATGGTAACTATAAAAAGATTTACAGATAATTACATTACTATGTCTTTACATGAGTAAAAGACAAATGTTTAGAAGCGATTCGATTCATTTCTTCGAGTGCCATGATTCTTAATATTCTGTGAGTACTCGTTAACTAGGATCGTCCCCATTTATTTCTTTTCATTCTATCCGCCAGCAACTTTTGCCGGCGTCAAAAATTATCGGCAGATAAATTAAGGAAAAAAAAAAAAAAAAAAAAAAAAAAGTAAAAATTAAGATCAATAATGTTTTCTAACTTCTTGGTGCCTATAGATGAGATAAACTTTCTTTATATTAAACTTAATTTAGATATATTTATAAACTCTTTTAAAATTCCATTTATTCCCTCTTTCTCAATATATATATATATATATACATACATACATATATATATATATTTCTTCTTTACACAATGTTAATGCAATATTTATGAAAAATGAGATCGCAATATAAGTCCACTCGAATTTCCCTTTCTAGTTTTACTCTCTCCCGTGCAAAAAAGTGTATCACAGATAAAAAATCTATAATGAATCCTTTTCGTTACTTCTTTGACGAAGTAATACCGCTTGAAGAAGTGAATCGACGTATAAAACTAAAACCAAAATAATACAAATTTGAGAGAGATGGTAACTTTTTCAAAAAGAAAAGAAAAAAAAAAGAAAAAAAAAAGAAAGAGAGAAAGAAAGAAAGAAAGAAAAACAATATCAGGTATACCTAATTATTTAAAAAATATTAGTATTATTCTATTTCGCTTGCAAAGAGCACGCTTAAAATAATGTCAATACTATGTAAATTACGGTAATTTAACAAAGGTCAATCGAATAAAGTGGAATCAATATGAATCAAGTTTGGATTTAAAGGTTGAATATTTGTTACTTTACGAATATCCCTCGTTCCATCCTCTGGTAAAAAATATTGCAGTTTTTCAATCTTACAAAACAGGAGGTGTACCAGATTAACATTTCATTTAAAGTCCGTGATCATGGTGAATGCACAGCATAATATTGTGTACATACATACATACTTACATACATACATACATACCTGCATGCATACTTGGATGCAAAAAACAATTACAAAATTTTTATTTATTTTTAAAGATTAACAGGCAACTTTAGCAGTCATTTATGAACGAGAACTTATAAAAACGGCCAATGACAAAAGTGCCAATGGTCGTTATTAACTTATTGGTAGTTTAAGCATGGAACGAGCAATAAGGCGAATATAGGACGAGTTATTTTTAAAAAAGATGTACATTCGCGACTGATCGACGGACTAATGAAATGATCTAATTATTACATTCATTATTATTTTAGGAGTGAAATTTTTCTAATCTTTTGAACACAGTTTAGTGTGGCGTGTAGTGACATCGACAATTCTATCAAGTTTTCTTTAAGAATTAGAAAAATGTTTATACTTAACGCATATATGATTTCTAAAATTTGTCGAACGTAGACTGTTGTAAAAGTTTTGATAAAATTGTCGTTGCGCTACGATAAGTGATATACAGCTTTGGATGAAATACTTCGCATTGGTTTCACAATATTTGCCGTTCAAGTTAACGCAGATTCCAAGTCCAATAAGATTTAAGAACACCCACCAATTAGGCATTCCATTGGAAATGCAACGCAATGTCTCTTGTTATTAATTACCGTAATTATATAATCTAGTGTTCACGAACGGTCGAGATATCCTCTCTCTTACATTATATATTGTACAAATTAGGCATTTTCTCCACAATGGTGATGGGTACATTAAAGTACGTACATGGGAACATTGCGTCTTTACAGCTTCGCAAAATATATTGCAAGAATCGCGCTTTATTAGCTTCAAACATTTTATATTTTACAGCTATAAACATCTTTCTTTCTTTCTTTCTTTCTTTCTTTCTTCTTTTTACCTTTTTTTTATTTTTTTATTTTTTTATTTTTTTTTTTTTTTTAAATATCGAGATAAATTTAAGTACTCGTTATAAGAATAAAGTGTGATCGCTTTTTAGAATTTACTGCAGCAAGTTAGCTCGCTTTTCATGATCTTTTCTCGTGTAAGTCAAATAAGATAGAAACAATACCGTTAGCGCAAGTACCACACCTTGTCGATATATGCCTTATGCGTTTTTCTTTAATAATACATGATTATTTCATTATTAATATCGTAGAAGAGAAGACTCTCTTTTTATTAAACAAATCAATTTTATGATTCATCATCTCGTGTTTGCAAAGTGCGATACTTTATTTTTCCTTAAACAAAAAAAAAAAAAAAAAAAGAAAAGAAAAAGAAAAAAAAGAGAAAAAAAAAAAAGAAAAAAATCTTGTGAATATTTTCTTTCCCCATTGAAGCAAGTTGAGTCAAATGATTTTTTTTTTGTTTTGTTTTGTTTTGTTTGTTTAATATTAAACAGATATATACACGGTGCTATGCTTTATTTATCTCGAAAAAATCTTATGCGCCATTCGTATTGCACTAAATTCCTCTGGAAGCTGCATTTCACAGCTTTGCATAATCTCAACGCGAAAGGAACCATGTTCATCAGAGATCGATCGGTTAAATGATAAGCATACAATATTATCGCATGCTAAAATATTTCATCGATCGTCTAACGTGATGTTGTACTACTATGTAAGTCTGTGGATTGGCCTCCAGAACTCTCTAACAAAATAGATCGATAGATATTCCGAAGATATAGAAAGTAAAAGAAAATATCTCTGATATATTTCATATAATATACAATTTAATGCGATTTGAAATTTGACAAGCGGTGCAAATGTATTTCAGCATTCGGTAATACTCGTTCTTTAGTGTTAGAGGTACAGTTCTTACAATATAAACGCTTATTTTGTCCTATGGAATTCAATATGGGTTAAGTATCAAAAATAAATATACAACTTTCGTAAATGAAAAGTGCCACGATTTAAAGCACCTGAATTACACTCTCGATTGCTTATTTTAGACACGTGGGATGGTACAAACATCGCCATTGGCAATGATTCATTGTTTGGTTGCATTTCCACTGGTAGGCCATTTGACAGAGTCGTGTACAATGTCACTTGTTATCAGGCGCGGAAACCCATACAATTAGGTATACCAATTATGTGAATTAGTAAGTTCATTTTAAAAGATTATTTCTTTTCTTCTTTTTTTTTTTTATTTTACTTTATTTTATTTATTTATTTATTGGATGCAGCAAGAATTTTTCTGTCCATTTTTGAGCTTCAATCGAGACTTGGGACGATACTTTTCAAGGTAGGCCAGTTGCTTTGCGTTTATAGCGCCTCGCCTTTTTCTAAAAAGAGAAACAAAAAAATATTCCAACGATAGGTTAGACGATTCATTCGAATTTTATAAGATATTTAATTTGATAATAACTTGGAGATCGTACTCTCTAATCAGAGCAACAGCGTCCTCGTATTTGAGACCCAATTCGATGAGAGCAAGAGCAACTAATACGGGCGCTCTACCGAGCCCTGCGACACAGTGTACCGCTACGCAAGCATCAGGTGTTTCACGGAATCGATTTTTTAGTAGCTCGAACCATTCATCGACTACCTGCAATTATAATTTTTTTTTTGTTTTTGTTTGTTTTTTTTTTTTTTTTTTTTTTGTTAATAACGATCAAATATTCATAAATATAAATAAATAAGCAAATAAATATATATTTATTATCATATCGATTTAATGACCTCATTTGGTGGAAACGTCCCATCGTCAAATACCAAATCTATGACATTGATCCCTTCTGTCTTAAGTTCTTCAACTTTGTACGTTGGTTCACAGACTCTCACTACTTCTTTCACATTGTGCTTTTTCAGTTCCTATAGAGAAAAAGAAAAAAAAAAGAGAAAAAAAAGAGAAAAAAAAAAAAATAAATAAAAAAAGAAAAAAAGAAAGTCGTTTTTATTATTCTTCTCATTATATCGTTCATTTTAATTAATTAACACATATAAATTGACTCTCACTTGAATAAAAGTATGAATGGTCTGATCATTGGGCCGATCAGTAATGAGGAACTTCATGTTTTTGTATTCAATCTCGGCGGGCGCCGGCCTGATATCCTTTACCCTCATGTTGCTCATTTCCTCTTACAGCTACAAGTGTTTTATATCTTTTTCCTTCTCTCTTTTTGTGAAATAACTTTTAAAAGGATTTCCTTATTATTTTTTTTTTTTTTTTTTTTTTTTTTTTTTTCTATGTTTTCTCGCCCGGGTGACTTTATACGACGCTCAAATTTACGATTCTTCTTTTTTTTGTTTGTTTGTTTCTCTTTTTGTCGAATCTTTTGCAAATGTGCCACACTATGCGAAGCTGGGCTGAATTTGACAACTTAGCCCATAGATGTCAGTCTTATAAAGTTGTTTTTTCATTTAACTAATCGAATACTTTGTTAATTTTTTACAGAGGACAGAACAGTGGGTTTACATGTAGACCTTGGGAAGGGTAGCTGAGCGCGAATTTCGCCGAAGGGGGGGTGAGGACTACGTTACATTAGGCGGTGTTGATATGCGATTTATTCCCACCTGGGATCTCTTCGACTACTATTCGGAAGATAATCTGAAAAAAAGAAAACAGAGGGAAAAAGAAAAAAAAAATATTAATAGACGATCATACGATAATTACAAAATCAAATATATACCGTGTTTAATAATACAATCTGATTGAGAGATTAAAATTCCGATAACTACATCGATATTTTATATATTATTTTACCTATTTGGCAATAAGTGCTCCTGGATCAGGCGCGATCGGTGACTATGGCGTTTGCATTTATTAATGTAAATTAACAATTGTTTCTATTAAATTCTTCTACGTCTTGCGTGATGACTAGCTGATTTTCTTTTCTCTAACAACACTCTCCCCGATGATGATCCAAATATTTCTGATGCTTTGATCTTCCCACGATGTCTCTCTCTCTCTCTCTCTCTCTCTCTCTCTCTCTCTCTCTCTCTCTCTCACTCTCTTTCCTTCGCTCCACGCTTCAACGATACCTGATGGTAGGTGTTATCACGATGCTTGGACGTATCTCTCTATTTGTGTTGAGCCTGGCAGTACTCTGCGCTATCCAGCTGAAACTCCATGTATGTGAGGATGCACTCACTAGGAAACTGTAACAGAAACAAAAAAAAAAATATTTACATTCAGTGGACGACGAATCAAATAGGAAATAATTTTCTATCGAAGATTTATTCCAACGTGAACTCTTAGATATAAAGAGAAAGAAAGAAATTATATTTTCTCTTTTCGTATATGAGATTCGATTTTTGCGAACGACTCGAGAGAAGAATCGTTCGATCCCTTAAAAAATAACACGGTTAAAAGCACCGAGGTTACCCTTTTAACTTTGGGTCCTCGTTACTTTACCAACGTCCAAGTTAAAGTTTTGGCGCTTGTGCCAAAGAAAATAGAGGATTTAGCCAGAGAGCATGTACACGGTCGAGAGATAGTGTCTCGTCCTGGCTTCCGTTGTTTAACCCTCTGGCTTCTTCTACGTCTTTGTGGTCCAATGATCGTCGATAGGAATGTCTAGGTCAATATTACTCGAAATCAAATTGGTAAGGGTACATAGGATCAATTAAATTGGTCAAATAAAACAACAAAGTTTAACGCTATTGATCGAAATAAATTATTCGCGAAACGATCATTAAAACGTTCGATTATTATCGAGTGGTATTCATTTATCATATCTGTCATTTAATGAGAACTATTGCAACAGTAAAATCGTGGAAGTAAGGGAAGCTGAGACGAAGAGAAGAATCTTTACTTCGGGGTTGACATTGATCGACCCGAAATATTCGTCTTGGAAGGAGCTACTTATAAATTTGACTTCGTCGTCGTCGACTAGACGAACAAATATTAGACATCGATCTTGTATCCGTCGAAGAAACGTTCGTTGCACGTTCTTTCGGTCATAAAGTCTTTGCGAAATCTCTATTTACGTAACGACTATGACTACGATTACGACTACGACTATGACACCGACTACGACAACGACGACGACGACGACGACGACGACGACGACGAGACGACGAGACGACGACAAACCTACATAGAAGCGAAACCGGACAACAAGATAGAGAGAAAAAAAAATACGCATCGATCCTAAGAACGAATAAGAAAAAGATGAACAGAAAGAGAGAGAGAGAGAGACAGAGAGAGAGAAAGATGGATAACCACAGAGAGAGAGAGAGAGAGAGAGATAGAAAAAAAAAACAGTGAGGAAGATCGAGGAGGAGTAAATTGTCGGTCAGTCGCTTCGAACGAATCGGAATAACCAAAATAATTGGCATGTGCTGGATGCCACCAATGGAAATAGCTTTTTCGTCGCAGGAATCTTTTCCCAAGGACAAACGAAAATTCATATCTCGTACGAAAACGTTTACTTTATGTTTTTCTGTGCGATAAACATTGACCGGTGATATCACAAATTTACGATGAAATTGTACATTATCGGAAATGTAGTAGTAGGCATTGTTAATTGAAGAGCAAATTCTTTTGTTTTGTTTTTCTTGTTTTCTTTTTTCTTTTTTTTTTTTTTATTTCTTTTTTCTTTGTTATTTGCAACATCGAATATAATAGAAGAGATAATACTACGATCGTTTAAAAGATCATTTAAGAGAGAATTAGCCGAAACATTTTTGCGAATCATCTTCAATTTGCCGAGTTAAAAGGGATCGACCTTATCTCGTTGAACCAATGAAAGAAATTTCGTGATCGAAGTTCATCTCTCCACTTTTCGCTCTCTCTCTTTCTCTCTCTTTTCTCTTATATATTATTATTATTATTATTATTATTATTATTATTATTATTATTATTATTATATAATATCGTTTAAAATTCTTTAGCACACGTGCCCCAAATGAACGCTATCGAGTTCCGTCGAAATTTCATCGACGTGGAAAAAGAGAGAAAGAAAAAGAAAAAGAAGAAAATAGAGAGAAAGAAAGAAAATAAAAAGAAAAAAGAAAGATCACGGGGAAGGGCCACGGGTACGTACGTATGTTCCTTCAAGCGTGGCAGCGTAACGCTCTTTAAAAACGATCCAGAAGAGAAAAAAAGATTCACTGAGATCAACCTAGAAACCTACTTCAGGTTCAACCCGTTTAAACGTGAGCGAAAACGTATACGCAGCGTAAGTTGCCATCGCTTGTCCCCATTATCGACACACATCACACTCGTTGCGTTCGAGGAGCAAATCACTTCTCCTACTTTTTTTTTCTCCCTTTTTCTTTTTTGTTCCCCTCTCTTCTCGACTTCTCCCCTATCTTCTATTCTTCCTGGAATCGTGATTTTATTAAATTTCACAGACGCGACGCCGTCTCGCACAGGAACATCCATCCATCCATCTAAGCAACCATCCATCCATCCATCCATCCAACCCATCCATCCTTTTCTTGTCGCCATCGTCTATTTAAATCTCGAGTAAGATTTTGATTTCAACAAAATGTATTTTCCTAACTGTATATCACCTTTCCCTCGATTAAATCTAGTTCTAGAAACGTAAAGGTGGAGAGAGAGAGAGAGAGAGAGAAAAAAAAATCAAAATCGAGATATATACATACATACGTAAAATGTTAAAGATACATTTTTTTTCTCTATCGACCTTTTCTATCGAATTTTTTCTAGTTTTTTTTTCTCGTTTCGCCATCGACATTATATATATATATATATATATATATATATATATATATATATATATATATATAATATACCGACGTGATATATATCGATGTATGAGGTAATGCTCTAAGTATGCGCATCGATGTATTTTTGTTTGGGTATCCCTGTCCAAAGATAAACGCGTTGAAAGTACACACAGAAAAAGAGAGAGAGAAAAAGAGAAAGAGACAGACAAGAGAAACACTTACATACATGTATATATATATATATATATATATATATATATATATATATATATATATATAGGTACACCTAAACATACAAACACGTGCATATGATGAACACGTTAAATACTCCATCGAAGATATAAGAGAAGAGTACACGTGTAATAGACAGAATCAATTATCGATCGAAGGAGATGGATCTCTTCTCTTCTCTTTCTCTCTCTCTCTCTCTCTCTCTCTCTCTCTCTCTCTCTCTCTCTCTCTCTTTCTCTCTCTTGTTCTCTCTCGATTGCATGGCAAATAAAATGTGTGGGGTAATAAGACCTTTACACGTGTAAATCTTTCGATGTTCGATGCATCTTGAAAGATAGTAGAGGTAAAGTATGTTGCAACGATCGTTTCTACGAAGACTCTCCTTCGAATCTGTTTCACATTTCGTTCGAAACGCATTAACATCTTTCATAATCACGTTGCATTTTATCTTTTAAAAGAAAATTACTTTACTTTCTATTAATAGTAATGTATAATTATAACTAGAGAATAAACATTACGTTTAATAATGTTACTATACTTTGAAATATTTTGATAAAGTATAGATTATTTTCTTAACGATAATAATGTAAATTATTACAAAATAATATAACAATGTTACGATATGTGAATAATATTTCGATAAAGAATATGCATAAGATGAATAATTACTATTTCATACGATTAATTACAGATATCGTATAAATATTACGACGTTAAATGTAGAAGGTCGATAAAAACAGCTCGTCTAGAAGACTGCAAAAGGCGAAGAGAGACTCGACTCGTGGGTCGCCGCCAAGTTGATTGCCTTTCTTATAAAGAAACCCTTTAACGAGACAGAAAGACGAAAGAGAAAGATAGAGAGAGAGAGAGAGAGAAAAAGAGAGAGAATGTGTATGTGTAGTCCAAGACAATGAAGATTCATTAACGCCGCGTTTGGTCGACGTACGTCAGAGCATACCATAACCAATCACATTAAAAATGCATTGAACTTTTACAATGAATTAGAATCGTCAATTAAAAACGATAAATTTTGGGCTCGTACAATTGCATAGAAACAAACGCGAAACAATCGCGTTCTTATTCTCGTTCTTTCAATTACGACGACGATGGCTTGCCAACTGGGAAGAAAATTCTAAAGAAAATTTATTTCTCGCGTTAGTCGATGTATACGCATGCCGCCCACACTTTTATCATACCGCTTTAAAATTAATTCGCTTTTAAATTGCCATGCTAGAAATGCCACCTGTCGTCTCGTGGGACGAGCTACGTATTCTAAGTTCGATTTAGCTCAAAAAATAAAATGAGATTCGTCCTATTCTTTAATTATTTAAGGAGAATTGTAAAACGAAAGAAAAATCAAAGTCGACATATTCTTTCATTCATCTTTTTTTCTTCCTTTTTTTTTTCTTTTTTTTTTTTTGATATCGTAGGATCATAAATTTCTACGAAAGAGAAATATTTCGATTCTCTCGTCGTTCCTTCGAATATCTAATTAATAAAAATAAAAATTATTGGAATTTTGTAACGAATCTAGGTCAAATAGTGAGACACGATTGTAATTTTCTCGCAGCTTTGTCTTTTATTCGTATCGAGAATGATAACGAAAGAATCGAGTCGATTTAAAATTGTTACGGTGGGCAACGATGCGTATCCGATACACCACCCACCCACACGTTGTTAAAATACCAATCGCCGATGCAAAAGGTGAAGAAAGTAAAGGCATAGAGGATAATAATAAACAATGAAACGAACGATATAGGATAACTGTATGAAGAGTAATTTCTTTTCGAACGAAGAAGAAAAACATTGAATGATATCTTATCGAAGAGGCAACGTGCAGAAATTCAAAGCAAATATGTATTCACTTTTTAAAATCGAATCGAAATGATCGTCTACATATATATACGTACATACATATATATATATATATATACACACACACGCTAAATGATCGGAAGTATTTTGATCGATGTCGATCAATGACCTTGACTCTCACGACAATTTTATCAGACAATTCTCTGCAAATTTTTGTTGGTTTATTTTATTTTTATTTTTTTCCTTATGAAATCGCACGATGTCACGAAGGTCGGATAAAGTGTGTACGAATACACGTAGACGAAAGAGAAAGTAGAATGAATAGTAAACAAAAGATTTTATTTACGTGAAGTTAAATAGTATATAAAGTGGCATCCTTCTATTCGATGTAATTGATTTATTACGCGTCTTCTCCT